CATACCCTCCCCAATGTCCATAACCCCACCCCCCCTCTCCCAACCCCCCTCCCCCCATCATCCCTCAGTTTGTTTTGTGAGATTAAGAGTCACTTATGGTTTGTCTCCCTCCCAATCCCATCTTGTTTCATTTACTCTTCTCCTAAGATTTTATTTTTTAAGTAATCTCTATGCCCAGTGTGAGGCTCAAACCCACAAGCCCCAAGATCGGGAGTCCCATGCTCCACCAGCTAAGCCAGCCAGGCACCCCCAAAAGGATTGGCTTCTTCTAACCTCCTCCGGGTCACTTTACTCTTTGGAAGACTGAAGTACCTATCCCTGTGCTATAGATACAAGCTGTTGTCTCGAGGTCGTGTTTTCACTGTGCCAAGTGTTCTTTTTCCTTGCCAGCTGCTCTCTCCATCCTTGGGCCATCCCTGGAAAAAGAGCTGGCCACCAGATGCCTGCACATCTGTAGTGTTCACAGCTGCATTGGGTTGAGGTCCTTTGACCTAAAGCAGGACTGACCCCAGAGAGCTTCTCCCCCTCCTCCATCCCTCCTTCTAGACCTATCTACGTCTCCACGGTCCGGCCGCAGTCCAAGCACATAGTAGTGATCCTGGACCACGGGGCCTCTGTCACGGACACCCAGCTTCAGATCGCCAAGGACGCTGCCCGGGTCATCCTCAGTGCCATCGACGAGCACGACAAGGTGACCGGTACCCCCAGGGAGCCCCGTGGCATTGGCTCTTTCTTGAATGTCTTTTGTGAACTACTTTGTGTTTTACGGCACAATAGTTTTAAATCCATATTTAAAATGACTTTGGGGAAAAGAGAGTGGTTTCATTTTTATTCTAGCATTTGAGAAAGCCGCTGGCCACTCTGGCTCCAAATCTCTTAAAAAAAAAAAAAAAAAAAAAACAAAAAACAAAAAACACCACCCCCACCAAGCCGGGTCTTGTACTTCCTTCCTGGCTCCTGTGAAGGCTTCCAATTAGCTGTGACTTTCACACTGGAAATTATGCTGAGGAGAGGAACAAGGGCATGGGGCCTGGTGGATGGCTGGACTTTATCTCAAGATTTATGAGAGGTGAGGGATAAGGGAAGGCTTCTCGAGGTTTGCTAATCTCTGGGACACTTCAGAGACAGGTGTGTTTACAGCTAATGATAATCTATTGCCTGTGGAGATTTTCTGCTTCATCATTTTGACTTTTCCAACTCCTAAGGTTTTACTGACTGATTAGTTGCTTAAATCACACACCCTGTGCCTTTACCCTCACCCTCACCTCCAGATGGAAAACCAAGATGGTTAGTAGTTGCTTAGTTTCTTCTCTGTATGAGATAGTTATTCTTAATGTTATGGATACACACCATACTGCTGACTTCATCTGGGAACAGAATGACAAGCTCTAGGGCCCCTCCCCCTTACCAGTCCTTAACTCATCCTTTCCAAATCTGATAGATTTATGCCTCTGGGCATTTATTTTTAGACCCTCAGAAACTGTTCGGTAGGCCATCTCAGTCCTTGGGCTCTTCAAGAATACAAGAAAGGCTTCACGTGTTACGATAACAAGGTTTCTTTTTCTCTCCTCCAGATCTCCGTGCTGACGGTGGCAGACACAGTCAGGACGTGCTCGCTTGACCAGTGCTATAAGACGTTCCTGTCTCCAGCCACCAGTGAGACAAAAAGGAAGATGTCCACCTTCGTTAGCGGTGTCAAGTCTCTGGACAGCCCTACCCAGCATGCGGTGGGATTTCAAAAGGCATTTCAGCTGATTCGAAGCACAAACAATAACACGAAGTTCCAAGCGAGTAAGTTGCGCTCTCTCAGAGGACTTCTAGACCAGTAGATAAAGGATGGCAATAGGCATACATTGTAAAATTATCACACAACCCTGCCTAGAGGAATTTTTTTAAATTGACCCGGGATAAAATTTCCATGTGTTGTCATCATGGTCACCTGGTACTAGGAGCTTTTCCAGTCAAAGGTACTCGGCCCACATGATTTCTCCCCTCCCAGAGCTCTTCTCCCTGCCCCTTTATTAGGAACATAGCCCCATTTATTTCCCAGGGAAATGGCCGCATCCTTTTTAATGCAAATTGTCAGCCTTGCCTCCTCATTGACTTGAGAGTGGATGGTCTGCTGGTGTGCATGTGTACAGAACCAGGCTGCAGGATTCTTGCCTTGATCCTTCCTTCTTGTAACCAGCTGTCATTTAGATGAGCATGGCCCTTCAAATGTACAAAGGCCCTCTAATTTAATTTTCATGTATTAAAGAAAATCTGGAATTAGGATGCATGCTAAACTGAAGGAAAGGATATTTGAAATAAGACACCTGCTTTGAAACTACTGAAAGGAGTCTCTGTCATTTTCCCTTTTATATTCGAATATCTATTTGTAGGATTTTTTTTTTTTAAATGAATGTATCCTATCAAGGGAAACTTAAAGAATATATTTGCAAGTTCTTCAGTGTGTCTGCATTAAAACTAAGGCAACACTGATGAATGCAAAGCATAGTGACGGGCACATGGTGAGAGCCCCTGAAAGATGGGAGCTCCTGGAATTATTACAAGTAATGATGGCAGATGGCATTTTTGAAGGTATTTGGACATAACAAATTACCACAAATTTAATAGCAGCTTAAAACAATGTACGTGTATTACCACGCAGACCCTTTCATGGGTCAGGAGTACAGGCATAGCTTGCCTGGGTTTTACGTAAGGATTTAGGGTTGCATGAGACTGCAGTCTGCACGTCACCCAGATCTTTGGTCTGCTCTGAGGTTTGGAGTCCCCTTCCAAGTTCAGTTATTGGCAGAATGCGTTTCCTTGCCACTGTGAGACTCGCATGCATTTGCTCCTTCAAAGCCAGCAGGGAGAGAGCATCCCTTCTTTGAGCTCCTGACTTCAGGGAAGGCTTGGACCCTCTTTTGAAGGGCTCATTTGTTCTCATCAGACCCATCCCCTTTTGAATTAATCAGATGTCTCTCCCATGGGATTAACTTACTAGAAACCTCAATTATATCTGCAAAATCCCTCCATCTTTGCTGTCCATGTAACACAATCACAGGAGTGATATCCATCACCTTTGCCATATCTGTTGGTTAGAAGCAAGTTATAGGTCCCCTCAAGAGGAAAATCTTCTCCAAGGGTGTGGGTCATTGGAGTCATCTTAGAATTTTGCCTACCAGCCTTGGCCAGCATCAGCTATCCACAGACCAGTATTACAGGATGGCTGAGTGTCAACTGGTCCAAGGGACAAGGTTGACCTCTTGAGTCTTCAAGACAGATTGACCAGTTGGTCAGTGCCATTTACCTGTCCACATTCTTCACCAGGAGCGATTTTTCTACTTGATTTCTCAGTCATCAAACTACCTTTTCGAGTTCAAGTCCAATTTTGATTACTATACTCTTCAAATCATGGAGAGAGGTGTTAGACTGGCTGTGACCTTGCCAGTGATTGTGAGTCAAGGGAACCCAAAGGAAGTTAATGAGGATCATTTGGGGGAGCATGGTCAACTAGAGGTGCATACTTCATGGAGTAGGCAACAGCTCTGTGCAGCATAGGATGGCTATGTAGGAGGGCCTGCCCAGCGTTGCCAGATCTTCTATTTTAAGAGAAGCCAGAAATCTGGATTTTTATGTGAATCCCCTTGGTTTTCAAATGTTGACATTTGTTTCAGCTTTAAAACTGAGATGGCATTAAACCTCCTCTTACAAACTTTCCTGCACTATATTTTACAGAAGCCTGCTTTGATGGGAGCCATTTCTCCTCAGGGTTTTTGTTTTGTTTTGTTTTGTTTTGGGTTTTCTTAATGTTGGCAAACAAAAATATGGCAAGAAGAGTGACCATCATAGACTGATGGCACTGTTTTTTAAGTGCTCAGAGGAGTCCTTTTTAAGCCAAGTGTAAAATATTCCTAAATTGTAGCTCAGGGGCCTTCACTTTATTGCTTCTACTGACAGTTTGGAGAAAAACTCAAATTAGATAAACACAGCAGAAATTAGCATTGTCCACCTTATTAAGGAGAGGTTTGAGGTGCTTTCAAGCAATTTAGCATAGTGGTTAAGTATGTGGGTTTGGGACTTTCCCAACGTGGGTTTAAATTCCCTACTCTGAAATTTTTCTAAACTTGTGAACCTGTGTTAATTATTTGATCTCTCCAGGCCTGATTTCCTCTTCTGCAAACTGGGGGTGATAATAAGATCCAGGATTCCATCGTAAATATTAAATAAATACTAGCTGTGGTTGTTACAATATTTAGTCTCCTGTAAGACTTGTAGCTCTGGCTAAACTAGAAAGGATAGCTCAAACATCTGAATTGACCTCAAGCCGAGATGGCTGAGGACCACACTAGCCTCGGCCACAGTATAGTGAGGGGTCTGTGTACTCCTCTTAGGAAATTGCACTCTATGTCCTTACTTCTCTTCACTCCTTAGATAATTACTTAGCATCTGCCTGGTGTACCTGGTGCTATTTTATTTGTTTTGTTTTGTTTTTTAAGATTTTATTTATTTATTTATAGAGACACAGCGAGAAAGGGAACACAAGTAGGGGGAGTGAAAGAGGGGGAAACAGGCTTCCCGCTGAGCAGGGATCCTGATGCAGGGCTTGATCCCAGGACCCTGGGATCATGACCTGAGCTGAAGACAGACACCCAACCAACTGAGACACAGAGGCACCCCTTCTCCCCACTCCCACCCCGGTGCATTTTAAAGTCATGTGGTGGAGTTATTTTAATAGGTAAGACCTACCCTGTAGGATTGTTGTAAGGATTAGCCTGTGCACGAAGGGGAAGTATCTGCCCCAGGTTAGTAGCCTTATGAACAGAAGCTACACTTCATAAATCATGGTGGCTTTGTACGAATTTGCTTTGCACTAAGGAAAATAGCTTAAAATTTTACCTAGCACTGGCTCATTTTTAATCCCGTGGTAGGTCTATAACTGATACCATTGACATATTTGGGTTGCCTGTCCTGGAGGTGTTTGGTTAGTAGATCATTTTAGAATAGAAGGAATAAGATGGCTAGGTAGGAGTAGGGATCTAATGGCATGGGAAAGCCCAAATTTCAGTTACTCTTTCCCCTTCGATATTAATCCTGAGACATACTAGTGGCTTAGACAGGGACTTATTGCATTTCCTTCCTGTTACATGCTATGTCTTAACTCTGCCCCAAGTCCCTCTAATTATTACTCATCCATAACATCACTAATCACAAGGTATAATTCCTCCGAGTGACTAGAGAGAGAACATCCTAATAAGTAAAAAAAAATAATAATAATAAATCACACCAGATTTGGCAGTTCTGCTATCTAAAAAGGATAGGGCAAGGATAGAGTCAGGCTGGCCAGAGACCATGAGGATGCCCCTGTAGGGTACGTGCCTCCTTGTTGGGACAGGAAGAAAAGGTCGCGGGCTGCTGTGGGAGGCTGCTGACTGTCAGCCCTCCAGTTTTCCAGATACCGGCCTGTGCCTCGACACGAGCCATCTAGAGGCATGAAGCTAAGTAAGAAAACTCAAAGGTTCTCTTTCAGGTCAGTCTTAAAGGTGTCCAGGCACTTATCACACAGGGTACCTTTGCAATGGGGTGACGGTTTATCTCCTATTTCATATCAGCCTCGTGGTATATTTATATTCCCCTGACTACAAAACTAGTAGTTTTGTTTTGTTTCTAGTCGGAAGCTTAAGTAAGATGTTTGACATGCTAACAGCATAATGTATAGGACAGTATTTACATCATTGGAAAAATATTGACATCCAGCTTAAGATGGATATTTCTAAGCTTATGGATTTTTTTTGCATCAGCATTCACTTCTTAATTTCTGATAAATAGTGCAATTAAATTTACAGTTCAGGTTAGAGAATTATTCAAGCATCAGATGGCTTTAAAACTTGTTCGTGTATTAAATTAGAGACAGCAACTTAGGTTGTATTTATTTCTTTGATTCAGTTTTATTAATCTCAGTTCAGTTGTCTACAACATTGATACAACATAAGCTAACCATTCAGTTTTATAAAGGATGCTTCAAAGTCGAACATGGAAATTTACAAACTGAAGGAAACTCAGTTATTGGATCCTTATCACAGTTAGGATATTTATTAAAAGGGTAACTAGCTAGGCGTCTACGGCCATACCACCCTGAACGCGCCCGATCTCGTCTGATAAAAGGGTAACTAACTCTATTCATTATCTGTTACTGGGGAACAAATTTCCCAATACTCAGTGGCTTAAAACATTAACCATTTACTGTCTCAACGTTTATAAGTCTGGAATCTAGGTGCAGCATAGTTGCGTGCTTCTGGCTAAAGGTGTCTCAGGAAATTGCAGTTAAACTGTTAGCAGAGTTGATATGCTCAGAGTTCAGCTTGGGAAGGACCAGCTTCCAGGGTCACTCAGGTGGTTGCTTGGGGAACTCAGTTCTAAGGGACTCAGTGCCTGGCTTCTAGCTAGGGTGGCTCGAGGCACACTGTCTGGCTTCCTTCAGAGTGTGAAAGCAGGCACACTGCAGGCCGCTTGCTTTGTAGCACCTAACCTGTTTCTTGACACCCCATCCCCTCTCGTGCATTCTGTTCTCGAGAAGCAAGTCGTGAACTCCAGTCCACACTCAGAGGGAGACAGCGACACAGGGCTGTGGCTGTCAGGGCGTAGGATCCCTAGGAGACCAACGGGGAGGTTGCCTACCACAGTAACTGTAAAGCAACCTCAACAAAATGACAGCAATAAGGACCTGAAGAAAGAAGCATATAACATATGAATATTTATTTCTCAATAGAAAGGTAAATGTCCATATATATATATATATATGGTAATATGTATAATGTAATATATAATATATAATAATATATAGTTACCCAAAGAATCTCAGATTGGAAAGACAATCTGGAAGTCCAACTCGCTTCCTTCCCTCCCTCCATTTCAGTAGTCATTCAGCCTCTGCTTTCATATCTCTGGTGGAAGGAAATTCACTATTTGGATTTTGTAGTAAATCCACTGGAAGGAAGTTCTTCACACTGAGCTAAAGTGAACTCCTCAGTCTCTGTGCTCATGAGCCCGGGTTGGGGAAGTGAATAGCTTCATCTTGAGTCATAGGTGCTACTTCAGAGCAATATGGGGCGGGGGAGGGGAGGCTGAGTGTGTTGAGGCTTCTTTCTCTTTTACTCCATTACCCTTGGATTCTCCAGTTAATCAGTTAGTCCTTACAGCAGCCCGACAAAGGTAAGTACTGTCATTATCCCCATTTTGTAGACAACAAAATATAGGCCTAGAGAGGTTAAGAGATCTGCCCAAAATTACCCAGACGCAGCTTGAAAGTACCAGAGCTGGGATTTCAACACAGGCAACCTGGCTCCCATGTCTATGTTTTTACTGTTCTTCTGTACTGATGACTTTTGTTTTTGTTTTAAGATTTTATTTATTTGTCAGAGAGAGGGCGCCCCCAAGCAGGGGGAGCAGCAGGCAGAGGGAGAAGCAGGCTCCCCATCGAGCAGGAGGCCTGATGCAGGACTCCATCCCAGGAGACCTGAGCCAACGGCAGATGCTTAACTGACTGAGCCACGCAGGCATCCCTACACTGATGAGTTTTAAAAACAAAAATGTCTCTGGAGCTACTTAGCATAGGGACCTTTCATGTTTTAAGAGCCCGTGGAAGAACCACCATTTTAAAGCCTAGTCACCCCCCAAAATGTTGGCTCCTGATGGAACCTCTCAGTCAGTGAGGAAAGGATAAATCAGGTCCTGAATCCTCTGTTTCGAAAGGCAAGAGAGCACTCCATCTTGGATGGCTAAATTTACCACACCAGGAGTGCCTAAAGGAAATCTTTTATCTGGTAAATTTATTAGGAACATCTCTTCAGCTGACACTGGGTAAATGAGGCCTCATTGCCCACAAAGGCCAGGATGGAAGGGACGCAGAGGCAGGGAGATGAAAGCCCCAGCCTCAAATGGGAAGGAGTCCGAATGCCGGGCCAGGCAGGTCCTCAAGGCGGGAAAGTCCAAAGGAAATGAAAAGGAAACGGAACTGCTGCCTTTAGCCAGAATCCAACGTAACGTTCAATTTGTATGTTTTTGTTTAGATACAGACATGGTCATAATTTACCTGTCAGCTGGCATTACATCAAAGGACTCCTCGGAGGAAGATAAAAAGGCAACGCTCCGTGTCATCAATGAAGAAAATAGCTTTCTAAACAACTCCGTAATGATTCTCACCTATGCCCTCATGAATGGTAGGTAGTGTTTGGAGATTTTTCTTTCAGATGAAAGTTCTCTCTAAGTGCATGCTGCTTTCAGAAAAAAATGAAAAGGAACCCTAACAGCGCGTGCTTTGAAGAAGGGTGTACGAAGAGAGGCCACCAAGCTGCTTCCTGCCCAAGCCTTTCTCTCCCTGACGTTCATATTCAGGGCATGTGTAGGTTGTCTCTCTTCATCTCTCTCTCCAGCCAGCTGCTCATTTCTAAACCTTCTCCGGTGAAGTGGGCTTGCAGAGGATTCTGTACTGCTCCATTTTTTTTTCCCCTCAGTTCTTCATATTCTTGGATTTTGATACTACATGGAGGTTATTAACTGAACTCATTGATTTAAGCTTCAGGAAGCCAAAGTACTGACCTAGATTCTTCTGTATACCCAAGCCAGTGAATATCACATTTCTCTGCAGAATCACCACCTGAAGCCTCTTCTGCTGCTTTCTCCCCCTCAGCTTCCTTAACTGTATAATGGAGATAAGAGTTACCTACATGACAGGGCTTTCGCGAAGATTGGCCCCGATGTGCAGGAAACACCCAGGGTAATGGGCATCACTCTCTAGGTACTCCTGAAGGCTGATTTTGTTGCTTTTAAATCAATATGTGAAAGGGTTTAGTAAATTGGCAAAGCTGAGGAAGTACTCGATTTTTTTCCTTCTGCTCTCCAGCACGTCATCCAGTCTGACTGTGGGTCCAGTGTTCTAGCTTTTCTGCCCTTTCCTGTCTCTTCACTTGCTAATGCATATCACTCTTCCCCTAGAGCATCTCCTTCAGGCCCCTGACCCTCAATGCTCAGGATGACCGTATTCTCTTGTTTTAAAGCAGTCATGTCTTGACCCAGGAGCTCTTCCCGCCTATGGTCTTTTATTTGTCCCATGTAGACCCAAGTGGCTAGAGAAACAACGGTTCTCATTTTAATGAGCTAAGGATTACTTGCAGATTTTTTTTTTTTTTTAAGATTTTATCTATTTATTTGACAGAGAGAGATCACAAGCAGGCAGAGCAGCGGGCCCAGAGAGAGGGGAAAGCAGGCTCCCTGCTGAGGGAGCGGGACATGGGGCTCGATCACAGGACCCTGAGACCATGACCCGAGTCGAAGGCAGAGGCTTTACCCACTGAACCACCCAGGTGCCCCTGGAGATTATTTTTTAAATGCAGACTCCCAGGCAGTACCATTGGATTTTTATTCAGACCTGCTTAGGCGACGTCCAGGAATCTCTGGCTCAGCACGATCCTCTTCCCAGGTGTTTTGTGGGCTCTCAGTGGAAGACCTCAGGTGAAGTTCTAGAGCTTCTGAGTTCCAGTCTCTATCAATGAGCTGTGTGACTTATGGCGAGTTACGGAGTCTCTTTAGGCTTCAGTTCTGTTTGTAAAAAGAAAATCATAAAACGTACCTAGAGTTGCCATGATACTAAATAAAGGAGATAGAACATGTTAAAGGTTCCTGACACCATACCTGCTCAAGAACAGGTCCTCCCAGCCGATCAAAGGAGTGAATTAAAGTGTGCGTGATTTCCTGTCTTGGTATACCTCAAAGGCAGAGCTGCTACTCTTGCGCTCTGGTCCAGGACCAGCTCTCTCTTCAGTATTTCAGGATTCCCTGTCCCCCAGAGCGTTCCTGCTTCTGTTAAGCATGTCATCCCTGACACTGAGTGATGTGCTCACATGCTGTTCTCCTTCTCCCTCCACTTTACACGCCTGAGCTTCTGAGACATGAACCGTGTCTTCGTTCTCTTTGTGTTCTGAGCATTGAACCCCAGGGCTGAGCAAGGATGGTCTCTTTACCAGGGGCTCGTACCTTGCAGTATTACCCCTGGGTGCCATTTACACTTTTTCCTTATGGTTTAGCTTCTTTGGCTCGGGAAGGAGGAGAGAAGGGAAGAAAAATAAAGTTGGTCAAGTCCACAGTGTATAACATAGAGTGCACTGAGGTCCTGTCCTCAAGAAGCTGGTGACTCCTTGAAAAAGATAGACAAGGCAGATGAATTGAGAGCAATAGTCCAGGTAAAGAAAACATAAAAGAAAGTGATCTCTTATTTTCCAAATTTAGATTTGAAGGTCTGCCCCCGCTGATACTGAGTAAAGAATCTTCCCCATTGTCAGCCATCTCTCCAGTGGCCCTGAATCTTCATCCTAGAGAATCTTGTGCACCTGCTAAGCCCCTGAGAATTCCAGTCTTTTAAAACTTCCGGTTCCTTCCCTCTGACCACCCTTATTTCTCTTCTCCCTTTAATCTAGCTAGACACAACATCCTCACTGCCGGTTTCCCTCTCCAGATGCTTTCTGTGAGCATTGTTCACTAAGGTTGACACATCCCTACTCTGTCAGTCAGGCTTCAGATAGGGAAGCAGAGCCGCTGCGGGAATTTTCGTGTCATGAATTTATTACCAGAATTAGAGTGTCCACAACTGAGGAGAAAACGGGAAGAGTAAAGATCCAGAAAGAGGAGTCAACAACCCAGCATTTAGTAACCAGCTGTGGTATGGGTGAACAAGTTGGGAGTTTATGGGGATGTCTGAAAGTAGGAACATTGAAGACCCCGTAGGAGGTCTGCATAGAAGTTCGTTGGCTCTTCATGGCTGCCATACCCCTGGGGACTCTCACTGGAACATCTGCAGTGAGCCTAGGGTTGCCCTTGTCGAGCAAGGCAGCCAGCAGCTGTGAAAGGGAACTGAATGCCCATTGGGGAAGGGTAAGACAAACTGGAACATTCTGGTCCCTCAGTGTCTGTTTCACCTCTCAGATCTGTAGTAGTTCCGTTTTGACTACCTTTAAACTAGAAACAGAGAGGAAAAGGGTTCTGGGAGATGGAGTCTCTGGAATGACTGTGCTGGTGATAGAACCATCTATCATACTTACCGTCTGCCATCCCATTGTCACCTTTGCCATTCCTGTCATGATGTAGTACATAAAATATGCAAGCTTTGATAACCTTCCATCCCATGCCATTCTTCTTTGCCTAGTTAGTTGTTCCCATTTGTTACTTGTCTTTTACATTTGAGAGAGTCAAACAGTACATGACAAAGGGAAAGTGTTTACTGCTTTGAGTTGTCTCCTTTTATCATTGACTTCTGTGAGTTCCTCAAGGCCCAGGATCCATCATGCCTTTTGTTTTTGGTGAGTCTGTGTATGTTTTTGTTTTTGTTTTTGTTTTTTAACTCTGGAATGTACCACTCCTCTCCTCTGCTTTTAACTCTGGAATCTCCCACTCCTCCTCTTAGCATCATTGCTCCAGCAAAATCCAAGTTATCTAAATACAGTATGTTAAGAAGGAAATTAAATCCATTAGGTCCACACATGACTTTAGAATTGGACTTCTAGGGGCGCTTGGGTGGCTTAGCGGGTTAAGCCTCTGCCTTCGGCTCTGGTCGTGGTCTCAGGGTCCTGGGATCGAGCCCCCCATGGGGCTCTCTGCTCATCAGGGAGCCTGCTTCCCCTCTCTCTCTCTGCCTGCCTCTCTGCCTACTTGTGATCTCTTTCTCTCTGTCAAATAAATAAATAAATAAATAAATAAATAAATAATGGACTTCCAAGGCTAGAAGTATACACACTCCTTAGTTAGAAATGATAGAGTCAACCAAGGTGGGTGAACCATGAACTCTTCAGTTTTGTTATTTTTTTTTCAAGACTATATAGTTGAAGAACATGAGGCAGAGCCTATTTAAAACTCATTGGTAAAATCTCAGTAGTGACTGAAATCATTCGAATTTGTTTACAACGGCACCCATACGGGATCAGTTAATAATCCTTTTGACTGTGTTCCAACAATAGCAAACTGAAATTTTTGAAAAGGTTTATTAAATTTATTTTTATGCTATAGATTACAGATGTTGTAGAACAATACATCCCAGTATGCTTAAATCTTTTACAAAGTTTTTAAAACCCCCTAAATGTAGAAAATACACATTCAATAAATCAAATCCAGTACTGTCCTAACAGTATCAAGCATGAAAGCATTTGTAATTAAAATGAGCTTAAAGACACAGGGTTTGGAGGCATCACTAAATGCAATACATAATTCTTCCATTTAGTTCCATGAGACTTTGGAAAGTGTTTAATAGGCGAAGAGGTAAGAAATGAAATGATAAACCTCTATCCTTTAAAACTCTTACAACTTCATCTAATTTAAATGCAGATTTCTTAATCACTACCTTTGCTTTCAAATATTAAATGCAGAAAAATTAAACTTTTAAGGGAAAGCATATCGTTGCCAAATGGGGCTTCTTTATTTTTAACGCGTGTGGTTTTCATCATTGTCTTTTGAAGAATCCCTTTGCCCTCTTGACTGTTTGAGGAAAGACTGTGCCTAGTGCTTTGTTCCTCAGCAAAATCTGGTAGCTGTTTCCTGGGTCCAGGTTGACTCTGCAAGACCCCTTTGGCATTGTAAGATTTCCGTGCCCTTATTAAACCTAACTGGCCCGGTTATTGTGTAGACATACACCATTTTGGTTTACACTGTCTACCTTTGTCTTTCCATTTCAGATGGGGTGACTGGCTTGAAAGAGCTGGCTTTTCTGAGAGATCTGGCTGAACAGAACTCAGGGAAGTACGGTGTGCTGGATCGGACAGCCTTGCCTGTGATTAAGGGAAGCATGATGGTGCTGAACCAGCTGAGTAACCTGGAGACCACGGTCGGCAGGTTCTATACCAACCTTCCCAACCGGATGATCGATGAAGCGGTCTTTAGCCTTCCCTTCTCTGATGAGATGGGAGATGGTGAGTCTGGGGAAAACTTCCTACTAAAGTAAGGGGGAAAGAAATGGACATGAGTCCATCAACGCAAGAACTTTTAAATGGTGTTCAGCACTTGGCCTGTGAGTGTTAGAGGGTCTGAACAAGCAAGGGGAACAGTGTCCCTCCCTACTGCCCGTACCCTCACCCAACCCCAGTCTCTGGTCAGACGGTGGCACAGCCCTCTGCCATCCCCATAAGGAAGAAATATGGTAACCTCTGCTACGTGTCCATTTTTTTATCCTTCCAAATTCTGGCAGAGCCCACAGACAGGGATAGGATAGAAACTCCCACTTACAGATAAGGTTATTTCCTTTCATAGGGAAAGGTGGAGCTTGAAATGCAAGTGACCTTTTATGCATCTAGCCCACCGTATTGAGTGCCAGCCAAGCCTTGTGTCAGGCAGTGATGGGTAAGGCACACATCCCACCCTCAGCAAGCATGGAAGTCTGATAAGAGAAAGACGGATCAATGAATCATGTTAATACTGTGTCAGAGGAACAAAGGCAGATGTGGAAACCAAATCCTGTACAAGCTTCAGGGGCTTATGCAGTCAAATCCTGTTACTATTAGTGATATCAGGTAGAGAGGACCTTTTCTAAAATTCACCTCTGCCACCCCGAGAGTCACCGTAAAAGCTTTCAGTCAAATTGTGGGCATATCTTTGGTTCCTCGTTGGCTGATGCTTCCCAAAGAGTAGGCCCTTCCTCAGGGCCTGTTTTCTGAGTCCTCTGCGGTGTGTTTCCGTGACTGCTTTACTAGTCTGTCCCATTCCCCTACTAGAATGTGCCTTTCATGTTTGTCTTCTCAGTCCCCAGAATGGGTGGATAGCATCTTCTCTAACTCTCCAGCATGGGCATCCTGAGCCTGGGGAACCCCATGTTTGCATGGCTCTCGTTCAGAACCCCCACAGATTAAAGTATTGGTGACTGGACGTACTTCTTTCAACAAGTAAATCTGTGTGCTTTGGGTTAAAGTAGAGAGGGCATTTAGGGATTTCATTAAGTGTAGCAAGAGCTTAGCATACTTTATTTGCCACAGTGGAATGAAGAGTCTTCCGTCCAAATTGATAATTGAGAAGTAAGATTGTGGGGTTTTTTTCAGGCTTATTCTCAACATAGCCAAAGAAATCTGAAGTGAGCGTATGGTCTCAGAGGCTTTCTGTTGTATTTCACTGCTCTATGAAAACAGCTCTAATCTTAGACACAAGTCCAGGGGAGCATGGCATGTAGGTCATGACCTCTGTCTGTGTACCAGCCCTCGAACATTCCTCCCATCATTTATAACCCATTTGTCCAGGGATACCTGAGCAAAAACCTCCTTAAAGTACATTTCTGAAACCTTCTGTTGACTGCCTGAAGATTGCATTTGAAATTATAATAGAGAACGTACAACTTTTCTTATTTCCTGTTTCACTGATTTATAACTGACATAAAACATTGCATTCATTTTAGGTGTACAACATAATGACACGTATATATTGTGATGTGATCACCACAGTAAGCTTAGTTAACATTTATCACCTCATATAGTTAAAAAAAAAAAATTTTTTTTTGTCATGAGAACTTTTTAGGAACTCTTACCCACTTTCAAATATATGTTACAGTGTTGTGAACTATGGTCACCACGCTGTATCTTACATCCCCAGAACTTATAATTGGGTATAACTTCTCACAGTTTTTCAGTGTCGTACGCACTTCCTCCTGCCCAGTGGTACGTTTCACTGGCCTTTGCAACCCTAGCACGTTCAGTAATACTTGGAGTGGACCTCACATGCGTTTCTCTGTGGAATTCTGTTCTTTGCAGGGATCTTTAAGTATCCCTGTCCCTTTCCTGGGAGTTGATAGAAGAACGGCTTTCTGATACGCCACTAGGGTGTGAACCTGCTATTGAGAGCAGGAAAATACAAGTGTAAAATGGAGAGGAACCAGCCATCTTTTTGTTTCTGGTTTTATTTAGTACCATAGGATTATGGCACTGCGGGGGGTGCTAGAGCTCTTTTTGTCTCTGCATGAAGAGAGTCATTCAGAGAGGCGGCGCCCCTTACCTCAGGAGGAGAGCCCAGTGGTCCGGATGCGCAGAGCCACGCACTGACCCCACTGCTCATGCTCTCTCCTCTTGTACATTTTCTTTGCCTTTGCTTTTCCCTGTCCTGATTATCTTACTGTTTTTGTATGGCCTGTGAGCTGAGAATGCCATTTATATTTCCAAAGCCTTTTTTTTTTTTTTTCATTTTAAGTATGTGCAACTGAAACTGGCCCGGAAGCCTAAAGTATCTACTGTCTAGCCCTTTAGGTAAAAGTCGAGGACCTTACAACCCACGTGACTCAAAATACAGTTCTTTGGAAACTTAGTGTCTCCTTGAGCTGCTTGGAGTTGTAATCAGTCAGATCTTACTAGATTCTCTACCTTCCCAGGTTTTTTCACTTCGTCTTGTCTTCTGATAGATTATAGTAGTAGAATAATCTCTTTTTGTCTATCTGCCCCTAAAAATCAGTAAAGCAGTTACCACTGTGTCCTTTAAGCAGATGTAGAAACCTGGGCTCCACAGAGTTATGCCCATGTCTTATGTACAGTACATAAAGGGGCACAGTGAGGCTAGAACCCAAGTTTTCAGCATCCTTGTCCCATGGTCTTTCACCTTCTGTTGGGTCTTCCCCAGCTGAGGGAACAGAATCATGATGTAAGTATTGCTGCTGTTTTGCACCAATCTGGAATGTCATGTCCTCTTAGGTGAAGAAATAGTGGAAAATGTCTAAGTTGTTTCCAAGATTAACTGGGATATCCGAACCCCACAAAAGACTCCCTGTGCCCCGCAGACTTGTTCACATAATGCTATCTGCAGAAGCAGGGGTTGGCTCACACAGGTCATCTCTTCCAAGCGGAACTGAGATGGCCAATCGTAGCCTTCATGACTCACTAGAGCACAGCTCTAGCCTTTGTCCAGTGCCTTCTCTGCTATCCTTCGGATTGTTTTGTTTTGTAACCCATAGGTTTGATAATGACTGTAAGTAAACCCTGTTATTTTGGAAACCTACTTCTGGGAATTGTAGGCGTGGACGTGAACTTGGCTTACATCCTTGAAGACGTGACCTATTACCAAGATTCTTTGGCTTCCTATACTTTTCTCATAGATGACAAAGGTAATCTGCTAACAATTAATCATGGGAAAGAATGACCTTTTTTGTAACCTGAAGAAAATAATCTGTAGATATTCTGATACTAATGAAGTTAGGAAAATTAGAATATTTATAGAAAATTACTGTGACTAGAACTGCTCCTGTGCAGTGGAAACCATAAAGATGGCAGAATGAATCTAAACATGAGGCGTTTGTTTCTAGGGGCACCTGGGTGGCTCAGTCCGTTCGACATCCGATTCTTGATTTTGGCTCAGGTCGTGATCTCAGGGTTCTGAGATGGAGCTCCACGCAGGCAGGGAGTATGTTTAAGATTCTGTCTCTCTAAAAAACAAACCAAAACAAAACGCCTTTGTTTCTATTTTGTGCTAAAGAGTAGGTAACAGTTACTTCAACATCAAGAAATTAGACTTGAGGATTGAATGGCACAGAATGTGATCCTTTGGAGTTTATTTTTCTATATCATTACCTTTATATTCACTGGCATTAGGTTTATGTAATCGATTAGAACATTTTTATAAAACAAAACCCAGTGACCAGTACCTCCAGAATATTCTTGATTAGCCAGTTGTTCCATGATTTAAGGCATCTTTCTACACTTCAAGAGTTTTACGCAAGAACACATAAAACAAGTTCTGTTTTTATTGAACGGGTGAGTTACTTCCTGAGATGTTGCATACAGAATATCCCGCATTTCGAATGTATGATGGGCACTTATATTAGATATCTGTACTTCCTACAGCATGTTTCCCATAGCATGTGTTTTTGTTCTCTTATTTCAGGGTATACACTTATGCACCCATCTCTTACCAGGCCATATTTACTATCAGAACCCCCACTTCATACTGACATCATTCATTATGAAAATATCCCAAAATTTGAGTTGGTTCGGCAAAATATCCTAAGGTAAGGAAAAGGTGAAAGTTGTAGTATTTTGGGTTTTTTCCTGAAAAAAATAGGAACTTTTGATGTAAAATATTAGTGTTTATTATATGATATAAAAGAAGTATATGAATTAGGGGCTCCTGGGTGGTTCAGTTGTTAAGCATCTGCCTTCAGCTTAGGTCATGATCCCAGGGTCCTGGGATCCAGTCCCACATCAGGCTCCATGCTCACGAGGAAGCCTGCTTCTCCCTCTCCCACTCCCTCTGTTCCTGTTCCCTCTCTTACCTCTCTCTCTCTCTCTGTGTCAAATAAATAAAATCTTTTTTAAAAAGTATATAAATTAATGTTATTAAAAGTATACTCAGTAAATTTTTCATAGAAACGGTAGCTAAAATTTTATTTACTTTGTATAACAACAGGAATGGTCTCTTAAAACTATTACTTAGGAAAAATGTCTTGTAAATCAGATTCTATGTTCACATTGCCATTAATTGTAAAATCGGATATATATTACCTCATTTAAGAAAAACTCCAATTGTACTAAATTGAAAAATGTTGGCAAAATAAAAGGTTAAGTTGAGGACCAGCTTTCCAGTGTGCCAAAAAATAGCTTGGCAAAATAGTGTCCATTCCACGTTGACAGCACAATCATATACAGCGTTTTCTTTTGAAACAAAAAACAGATTGGATTTTTTCCAACCGTGATACATTATTTTGGCAGATGGTAACCTATAGAGAAATGGGTCTTTGTGCTCCTTGGTTGTAAATTAATGACAGTGAGTCCAGAGAAGTTTGTCTCTGGAAAGAATTAGAATTTGGTGAGGGGTGGGGGACAGGGGAAGAGAGCAAGGAATACTTTAGTGCTGAGCTGACATCATGCTTTTACAAAATTGAAGATTTCACATTATCTCTTTCAAAAGTGATGAGCTTCATTGCTTTTCAAAATCAGGAGGTGGTCATTGACTCACAGCTTCTTCCCTGCCTTTAATTAAGTGCTTAATTTTATCTTTTGCCTGAAGTATTTCATTCTGTTGCCAATGCAGCCTCCCTCTGGGCAGTCAGATCATCGCAGTCCCTGTGAACTCATCCCTGTCTTGGCATATAAACAAGCTTCGAGCCCCTGGAAAGGAGGCCTACAATGTGAGCTATGCCTGGAAGATGGTGAGTTGCGGGACGCTTCGCCTGAGGAGCCGGGGAGCGCGTGGCTGTCTGTGCGGGAATTCCGGGCCACCTGGGTCTGATCACGTTGCTAATCAGTGTTCAAGTGATAGGGAAAAGGAAGATGCCCTAGAATGGTTTTTTTCCTATTTTATGGGTAAAACCAATCATCATTCATGTGACATAAGTGAAACTGTATAAAAGGATCCCAAGGAAAAAGTAAACTTCACCCTTCCCTCTCTCCTACCCTTGACCTGCCATTCCCCAGAAGCTGCCACTTCTATCACTTTCCAGAACATGCTTTGTTCCTACACAGGCAGCTCTAGTTGGGGTTGTGCATGCACGTTTACTTGCTAGGTGGTGTGGCACTGCATTGATGGACCAAACTTCCCTGAACAGTCCTCCTATCAATATACCTTTAGATTATATCCAGTGAAGTGATTTTTTGTTGTTGTGGTGGTGGTGGTGGTTTTTGTTTTTTGTTTCTTGTTTTTTTGTTTTTTTTTATCATTTTACACTCAGATTTGTGGCAGTTAGGGGTTGAAAGGGAAATATGAAAGCATAAATGCCCTCTTTTGACATTCTCCAAGGGAAAGAAACTTTCAGATTAGAATCTGGATTATTCATATTCACCACCAGCAGATGGACAGTTAAGTGACCGTCTGTGGCCCCACTTCCTTTGTTGTCCTTTAATGAGTCTCTTTCAGATAGCAGATGTCAAGGAGTCAGAGGTTCAAGCCCACGCTGCCCACATTATTCATGTTGCTGCCCTTCACGCCCTCTTCCCAGCTAAAAAGAAATGCTGTTACAGGGCCCTTCATACTGTAATTGGCCAAAAGCAGATCAATTTTAATTGCTAAATTTAAAACTCAGTCATATTAGATGTTCCCTTCCTTGGCCATATCTGGTGTTTAACCCATGGATTCCAAATGGATCTATATAGTCATCCCTTTAAGAATGACTTACTGACCATTCCCAGTGAGCTAAGAAGGATAAGGAGGAATGATACTTTCCCTGTCCCCAGAGAGCGTCCAGTCCAGTGGTGGATATGGATAGATCACTCAATCCAGTGTCTGTGTCTGGCAAAAAAAGACAGGAATTCGAAGAAACCAACATGCCTGTAGATAGGATTCTCCTCCGACCTTCTTATTCCATTCTTTTTTTTCTTCTTCTTCTTATTCCATTCTTAAAGCATTATAGCAACATTGATTTCTACAAGGGAAACAAGCAAACAAGATAATAAACGAAATCTTTTGAGAAATTCACAATCTACGAGCCTGATTCTACTGATCTTTTTTATTGTTTGGTAACACAGATTTGAAAGTGGTCAGTCTATTTTGAAACTCGTTCAGCTCATTTTCAGGATTTTTTTTTTTTTAAATAAGATTGCCTCATCTACCCTTATTTTTATACATTTTAACATAAAGATGAATTAATTTTCGTATCAGAAAGGGTAAGCCACACCCCCAGAATATTTCATTGAAAAATATTTTTATATTTGAAATTGGAGGTTGTTTACCTCTAGTATGTTCTGATTGAAAACAACTCAGTTGCATCCCAAGAAAATGTCTCCCTTAAGGATGGGGCACCTGGCCGGCTCAGTTGGTGGGTGTAGCATGCAACTCTTGATCTCAGGGTTGTGAGTTTGAGCCCCACGTGTGGAGAGTGCTTAAAAATAAAATCCTTAAGTAAATAAAGAGAAAGAAGGAGATACGAACACTTTTAAGACCTTTTTTGCACAGTGAATAAACCCAGTATTAACATTTTGGAAAGAAGTATTATCTTCTTAAGATTTTCATCAGTGGTCTTGATAAATTCTGGCCATTCTGTGTAGCCAAATGGATATGATCATGTAGTTAGCCTTCTCAGAGCTCCAAAGTTGTCAAGAACATCACTACTAAGTGAAAAATTAAAGAGGTAATAAACAATGAGGTAGAAGTTACAGAGAGGCTTGCCTGGTTACCCAGCAAATATGAACACACAATTTTAAGTTCTTTTTTGTTACTTTTAGAAGTGGGGAAGCAGATACTCCTCTTGTCTTCAGGAATAAAATGGATTCTTCTACTAAATGTAATTCAAGTAGATTCAGCTTATGTTGAGAATGATTATTTAAACTGCTTAGCGTCCATAGATACAGCAGATACTGATGGATTATTTCACTGAATTAATTTAAATAGAATGTGAGAGATTATGTTGGCAGCGTTAAGAGATTACTACTCTATCACTGTGCAGCCCAAGTCCATCTTTGAGCGTTTGAGGAGGCTGCACGCTGACACAGAAGAAAGGATTGACTTCAGAAGGTATTACTGTGTTCCTGTGTGACACAGGCAGGACTCACTTCAAAACATGAATCCCAATGGGCCATCGTGGGGGGAAAAAAAACCACTCCCCCATCATGGAGAGCCCTTCTAGAAATATTCTGGTTCCTGAATGCAAAGACTTCTTTTTTTTTTTTTTCCAACTAAGAACATGATAAAAAGACCTGTATTGAAATCTGTTTTCCTTTCCAGTGAGGAACTATTTCTGAAGTATTGCTTTCAGATGCTTAGGGCACCTTTTAATTTTTCTCCTACAGAATAGCCCCTATTCTACAATTACATTCTGGTCACTCTGGCAAAGTTTTTTTCTCTTGGTTCCTAGGAACAAAGGAATTGGCTATGTGAGATGGGGAGAGGGGAAATCCTAAGTGCCACTACGGGATGCTAGCATTTTCTAATGGAGGAGAAGGCAGGGGGGGAAAGAACTAAATTTGCTAATCTAACTGAATATCCTTGACAGCAGTCCTTGAAAGCAATCCCACAGAGATGCACATTTCTCCTGTGTTGAAAAAGATTCTGCAACCATCTTCATAAATCCTAAATTACACTTAACTCTAACCTGCCTACTTAAAAATTTCTCCTTGATCATGAAGTAAATCCTTTGGGCTGCTTTAGTTCTCACTGTCCTTTAGTTTAAGTTAGCTAGTTATCACCCTTTCCCTTCATTGACCCACCATCTCTTAAGTAGAATCTGCCCATCTCCTTATATAATGGACTTACAGAAGTTTGGCTATGTTGTATTTCTTTTTTTTTTTTTTTTTTTTTTTTAAGATTTTATTTATTTATTTGTCAGAGAGAGAGAAAGAGAGCACAAGCAGGGAGAGCGGCAGGCAGAGGGAGAAGCAGGCTCCCGGCAGCCCAGTGCTGGACTCGATCCCAGGACTTTAGGGTCAGGACTGAGCTGAAGGTGGATGTTTAACTGACTGAGCCACTCAGGTGTCCCTGCTATCTTGTATTTTTAATTTAAGGATCTAGAATTAAGTAGGTTGCCTTGTTTTTGTTGTTGTTTTGTTTTGTTTTGTTTTAATTCTTTGGTGGACACTCTTCCCAATAAGTTCGTTTAAGCATCTGTTTCTAAGAGCAAAGTGAACTTGGAAGTACTCCTGTTTGTACATATGAGTTTAATAAATTAGGCTAAGCTATAGCATGTTTGCCTACTGTGGTCTGAAATGACAAGTCAGGTAGGCTTTGTGAGGGAGCCATGGGATTCATATTTTTCATGAGTCTGAGATCCTGTTCACCTCCAGCCAGGAAGGGAGAAAGCATTAGTCAGGAATACATGAATAAAACAGATTCTGTATGAGCTGCATGTGTATATTCATAATTGGCTTTCAAAACAGTCAGTTCTCGGAATACTCATTGCAAAACCAACTCTGTATTTTAAAATGCATTTCAAACCCAAGCAGAAGTAAGCGCTGTGTTCTGCCATGTTCCGGCTTGGATCTGTTCACCTAAGAAAGCAAAAGAGGTGTGGGGTTGCTGTTTCAGAGGGACTCCATTCTAATCCCTTCATTAGCTCCATGATTTTCTGTTACATACATTCATTTCCCTTAATCAGAAAGGAAAACAGAAAATAGACAATGTAACCTTTTGCCAGAGATAGTTTGTCACCCCATCTTCGTGGCTTTCACTCTTTTGTCAAATATATTTCTATGTGGGACAGAAATCAAGAGAGCAGAAAATAATGTAGGCAAAGTCACTATCCCTAGGAAACTTTATTTTCTGTGTTAGAAATTTTTTATTGACTTTTCCAGGTACAGGACACTTCCTTTATTCTCTGTATTGTGGTGATACAACCGGAAATACCTGTCAAACAACTGAAGAACCTCAACACTGTCCCCAGCAGCAAGCTGCTGTACCACCGGCTGGACCTCCTGGGCCAACCTAGTGCTTGCCTTCACTTCAAACAGCTGGCCACTCTAGGTAAAGCCTCTGCTCTTTCCAGCGTCCTTCGTGGGCTGACTCATAGCCCCTCACTATAAATATCCATTTGAATTAAAAAACCAACCTGAACCACACAAAAACCCAGATACTGAATGGCAGCAGTGCCGGGAGGAGGCTACAGATGTGGAAACGATGGGAGGCCTTGCCGTGGATCCAGTTCTCCAGCAGATAACAAGACGAGGGGTTTGGGTGTTGATTTCTTCAGAATGGGCTCTAAGGAGAAACAGGGGAAGAAGGGAGGGAAATAGGATAACCAAGGAGAAAGCAAGCAAGAACCTGATCTTAGGTGAAGTTCCAGCCTCAGCCTATACCTGTATGGGGGCTTTGGAGTGTAAATGACACTGCAGAGGTTGCCCAGGCTCGAGAGAGGGAGCTGGACTTTCATATCCCTTTGTATCTTTCAGCTCTCTGCTAACGCTAGGCAGAGAGGTTTTAGGAGTATGACCCAGTATGACCCATTAGAGGCAAGCACAGAGAGACGGAGATAAAGGAATACAGGGCTAGGGGGTAAAAGGTGGAGAAATAGTAAAGGGGGTCCGAGGGTAGCATTCCGATATAACATATCTGTGTCTACCACAGGTCCCTGTCTTCAAAAAGGGCTTAGGAAATAGACAAATAATTCAAAGGAAGGGAAAGGGAGTCAACATGTGTAGGTACCATGTACTTTGCTTTCATCATTTGAGTTGACCTATTACAGAGGTAGTAATAGGTCAAGTAGTAGTAGCAAGGTTCCTCCCGTGCCAAGGGGCCACCTCTCTTATCACATGCCACCACGTGCCAGGCACATCCTGGGCATTTGTGTGGTACTCCTAGTACTACAAAACAGACATTCTCTTTTTCACTGTTGAGAATCCTTCGGGTTCAAAAAACTAAGACTCATTAGACCACAGGCAAGCTGAGTAAAAGGGGCACAGGCAGGAAGAGGATCAAGGATGGCAGTCCCCAGTCCCTAGATGCCACACAGAGCCCTTGTGTTTGGGTTCCATCTTTTAAATTCCATCCTATAGAGTTTCTGTCTGGTTTTGAGATCAGGAGAGCAGGCCAGAGTGAGTCGTCTCTCCTATGGCACGTTCGAGCAACATAGACAACTTGAGGAAGGCCAGAGAGGTCGGTCAGAAAAGGTAGGCTTTTACATTTTCTTTGGTTTTCATTTAGGTTTTGAGGTTTTGTCTTTTGCTTTTACACAAAAGAGCATGTGTACCCTTTAATTCATATTTTGAAGAAATACTCACTGAATAGCCAACAAGATTGGCATGATTTTCTCAAATGCTGTGGGAACAAGGTCAACACAACCATTGACAAAGATGAGGTCACTGTTTTTGAAATTTGAGATCGAAAAGTACAGTAATATTCCTGGATGAGAAAAAAGCTCAAGCTTAGATTTTTTTTTTTTAATCTCCTTTGCACAATCCCTTCCTGCTACACTGTTCCATAATGGTAGCCGTTACTGTGGCTGTGGAGCCCTCGAAACGTGGCTAGTCCAAGTTGAGATTTACTTCAAATGTAGAATACTTAATTTTTATGTGAAGCGATGTTTTGGTAATATTGGCTTTCATAAAATACACTAGGAAAATTAATTTAACCTGTTTTTATTGAATGTGGCTCCTGGAAAATTTTATATTACACTTGAGGATTGCTTCATATTCTAGTTGGGCGGTGCTGCGTCAGAGAGAGGCTCATAAAACGTAGAGTTTATCAACTCAGAGACTTAACATGGGACAAACGGATTAATTCTAGATCACACTGACAGACGGTAGGCCAGGGTTTGACTTCACCAGACAGTCCTTCTGTTATACCACCCAACTTCACCTTTGCAGTAGAACCTCCTCAGGACCCCTGAAGGGGTCATCAAGGATAGTTTAGTATCAGTTGGCAATGAAAAACGAAGCAAGATACTTAAACTATAATGGAAAGGGAACAAAAAAGAAGGGAGATGATGGCAAATAAGTGGTGTCTGTCTAAGTTCATCGACGATGGGGATTTGGAGGTGAGGTGTTGAATCTTCATCGGAGCGCCAGCAGGAGAGCTGAAGGAGGGGCGTTGTCTGTCTCGGTGCACAAAGATGAATTTTTTAACTACATTGTCCAGTGCGGTTAAGTATACATGTATGAGTATAGCTTTATGTGTCTACCTCCTAGACGCAAAGCTTTGGGTCCTGTGTCTTGGTTCTTCTCTCCCTCGATCCAAGTCACTGCAGCAGCCTTTGCTGAAATGCCCAGTTTCTGTCGGTACAAGAAAGGCCCACTCCCAAAGTGTGTCTCCCCTGAACCTCTGGCCCTACTCCTTTGTCCCTGAAAGTTTTATGGATTGCCTTTTGACATTTATTACATTATTGTATTGCTCTCTTTTTGGTTATTTTCCTCTTTTTAAAAATTTCTATTCTCCCAACTGGTTCCTAAGCTCTTTGAGGAGGACAGTCCTCTCTGTCTGGTGCATCTTGGCCCAGAAGGCCCCATGAGCATATGCACATGAATCCATAGCACGCTGCTAGGCAACCAAACCTTTTAAGCTTCTGGTTTTCTTCTCCTTGATAGGACTATAATACTAATCTCCCCGGCTGTCCCACATGGTATCATGAGAATTAAATCAGACATAGCATCACTGGAAGCACTTTCTTCTGATAATGGCAGACTACGTAATTCTGTCCTATCCTACTGAGGACAACTGAAAATGGATGGAAACGTGGGGAAAAAAAAAATCTTTCTGAAAAGTAGCAAAACTAACATGATAGCTAGGAACTAGACCAAAGTCCAGGAGAATATAAGAAAGGAGAGAAGAAAGACTGTATGTAAAGCCACGTTTGCAATGCACTTATCTACCAATCCAGAAGAAAAAACTGGGAAATCAAACTGTTAAGTTAAACAGCTGGGAAATAAGCTAGTAGCTTCTTAGGGCTAGGAGGAGAGGCAGCATTCAAATCCAGGGCCCCCGCAATGTGGAGGCTAACTCGTGAAGACCCTCCCTTTCACCCACCTCACACACATCTTTTAGCAGAGATCCTAAAGAACTACCATCTTTAGGGTAGGTGTGTGATTGCAACTGAAAAAGTCCTTCATTTGGGATGCCTGTTCACCTGAGTGGTCTAAGGGACCTCACATAGGAACTAGTCATGGATTAGTTGAATATCAAAGTCCCACACTGCAGCAAGGAGGCCAGCGTTCCATTGTCTCACTGAGAACAGCCTCCACCTTACCACCCTGTCTCATCCTGGGGTTTGGTGCCCGGCAGAATCAAACAACAGTGCTTTCTAGAGAAAGGACTTCCCCCATCCTATTAGGACCTTACTCTTCTGTACAGATTCCTTTTTAAGTACAATGTCCTATACGGTCAGAGATAGCCAGGCCACCAGGAACTAAGGCACTATGAGTGAGAACTAACAACGGAGTGAAAAATGACCTGTAGATTTAAATGACATTAGATACAGAATCGTAGACCGTGCTTTCCAAAAGCTTTCGAAACTACAGAATTGGACAGGGAGAAATTTCACAGACAGAGATGGAGTGTTTTGTTTCATAATGTAATTCATTGTGAAGATTTATGTCTTAGATAGAGAACTAGGCTTTCCTCTTAGATTGAGCCAGCAATCGAATTATATATACAGTAACTATTCTAGGCCTATAAATTTTTGTTTATGCCAAGTTTGGCTATTCCTGTCTGAAAGAATAATTTTTTTTTTTAATTTTTGCCTTGACTCCACCATTCCATTTTTCCTTCTTTTGAAATACCAGTACCAATATGAGTAATAGTAGTTACCACTCGCAAGACATTTGTCATGTGCCAAGCACCGCCCTACGTGCTTTCCGTTTCTTGACTCATTGGCTTTGCATAAAGTAACTGATGTGCTTCTCCCCGTAACTGTGAGTTTGGTGTCATAATTTCTGACTCTGCGGATGACAAAAGCATCACATGTATTTACAACTTTATCCAGCACCACGTGGACAGGAAACGGTGGAGCCCAGATTCAACCAGTGTGGCTCCATGGCCCCGTGCTGCCTCCTTGACCCCAAGAAGTGTGAGATAGCATATGTAGATCTAAGATATTTTAAGCACGTGAGTTTATTTGTACATTTGTCTCTTTGGTTCACTCATGACTAGAAACTCCCTGAAGGGAGAGAATGAGGGTTGTTTCCTTCTTCACGCCTGCTAGTGTCAAGTCTTTCGCTTCCCTTATGGAAGACTTTAAGCCACCAAGGCTAACAGAATGGCAGAGCCTTCGTGATGCTTTTTTTGGGCCCGAGATGAAGTCTCGGTGTTCTCAGACCTGCTTTGTTCGCTTCTCTTTCAGAAAGTCCAACCGTCATGCTGTCCGCCGGCAGCTTTTCCTCTCCCTACGAACACCTCAGCCAGCCGGAGACAAAGCGCATGGTGGAGCACTACACGGCCTATCTCAGCGACAACACCCGTCTCATTGCTAACCCAGGGCTCAAAGTGAGTGCTGGCCCAGGGCCCTACTTCTGGGGTGCCCCTCCGCAGGCCTGGGAGGGGGCGCTGTCGGGGAACCTTTGAAGTAGGAAGCCCAGCCCTGGGTCTGTGCCTCTCAGCTGGAGAGCACGAAAGGCAGCGTGTGGCCCCCAGGAGGCTGGTTGGCGCTGACCCTTCTGGCGGATTAAGAAGCCCTGTGGGCCAGATGAATCTCTTTCAGGCCTCGGATGCACATGGGGTTTTCTAGGTAGGGGGATGTGATTGAGAGATCAATGGAACTTTCCCAACCCCGTTTTTCCCAGGGGAAAGAAGTAAAGTGCCCCCATGGTCTGTTGAGATAAACATGATGAAGTTTAAGGAGCAGAGGTGTAGCAGGGTGCGTGTACGTGTGCACGTGTGTGTACATGTATGTGTGTAATGCTTCACTATAGGATCCTTCCTCTTAAACGCAGAAAGCCTCGCTAGGATGAACAACTGAGTAAATCACACATCCCTGACTGTGTTTCAGTAAGCTTTTGTTTTCACCAAGTTTGGCTGTATCCGTCTGCTGTGGAAAGATTTTTGAGAAGTAATTGGGCTTGGCTTCTCTGCAAGAGAGCTTTGGGAAGCCCTGCCAGCAGCCCACTCTCTTTTCATGTGCATCTTAAAGGATCCCTGCTATGTCTTCCTTTGTTTCCCAGTTCTCTGTCAGGAATGAAGTAATGGCCACCAGCCACGTCACAGATGAATGGATGACACAGATGGAAATGAGTAGCCTGAACACATACATTGTCCGCCGTTACATAGCAACGCCCAATGGCGTCCTTAGAATTTATCCTGGTTCCCTCATGGACAAAGCATTTGATCCCACAAGGAGACAATGGTGAGTTTTAGGGGCTTCCATTATCAGAGGTTCCCCCAAATCCTGAAGAGACATGATAAGCACATACAATAAAGCAACTTCAGGCAGACACAGTAAAGCAGATGCTTTCATAGCAGTGAAAACATATTTTGAGCCTTTTTTTTTTTAATGCAGTATTAACAACAGCTTTGTGGGTTTCCTCTGTTGACAACGTTTTTATCTCTTCATTGAAATTTTGAGACTGAAATGTTTTGTTACTTGGCCATTTCAGTTCCTAGCATTTTTGTGAGTCCTGCCTTGCGTGCGGTTTGCCCGTAGTGGGGATATCTAACGCCCCTGCACATGATGATGACATCAGGTTACAGCCCTTCTGTGACCTATGAAGAGTAAACAAGTATAAATCCTTTTTTTTTTTTTTCTTTTTACCTCTGTGAATTATTTTTACTCATATTTTCAAAAACAAAAGCTAGTCAGGGGGCCTAGAACGGGGGCGACTTGGGCACAGAAACAGGATTTCTGGTCTCATGCTGCTTAGTAACTGAGTCACTTGTGAGTTGGCTATCGTTTGTACTGTCCGTACCAACCCAGGGGGCAGTTTCATGGGCCAAATTCTATTTGTTTCTACTTCATTTATTGATTTCTTTTTATATCAGGCTCTAAAACATCTATACTATAGATCTTAAGAAGCTCAAATTATAGTGAGTTGAGTGTCTCTTACAGAAGAATTTCAGATTTTCTTGACCTCCTGTCCTGCTACAGTCACAGAGAAGAGATTGGAATCCTTTTGAGCTCTAATGTAACGTAGGCACAATTCATGATAAATGTTTTTTAGAGTTAAAGGTTCACTTCTCTTTGACATTTACAGGGGAGTTTTTCATACCCTAAAACAACATGACTTTCTCTTGTCTCCGTCAGGTATCTCCATGCAGTAGCTAATCCAGGTTTGATTTCTCTGACTGGCCCTTACTTAGATGTTGGAGGAGCTGGCTATGTGGTAACCATCAGTCACACAATCCATTCATCCAGGTAATAATTTCTTAGTCCTTTTTTAAGCATATCAAGGATATTTTAAGAATTTGGAAGTCCAGTAGACACCCAAGGATTAATGACATGACCTTTGATGGGAGGCATTCTGGAGTCTGAATATCTTCTCTAGCTGTGTCATTTTTGGATTCCCTGAGCTTCCTCCCGTCCTCTGTGAAATGGGGATAATATCTGCCTCACAAGGTTATCATGTGGTTGAGTAAATGAAAAGCTCTTGGCCTTCTTCTCATGAAGAAGAAAAGAGATGTTAGATTCAGTAGGGCAGTTGTAGAAATACCGCTCTTCACCAGTTGAGGAAACCCCAACAAGATCCTGACAGTTACTACCAGAGAGCATTTTCCTAAGCAGAGGAGCCTGTTCAGTGAAGAAAAAAACAGTATCGATTTCCCCGTGTTATTACCTCTTTTATTTTGGTCTAACTTTTTAGAATATCAGAGTTTGTAGTTATTGTCACTGTCCTTATACTGTCTCTTGAAAACTAAAAAGGCATTTTGCAAATTGATTTTCCAAGAATGCTATTAAATGTCAGTATCACTGTAAATATATTTTGGGTGCTTTATATTTCAGGCCTTGGAGGTTTCAGTATTTAAGCAACAAATGGCTGTGAAACGTTGGGTAGAAACACAAGTCACATATGTTGTTTTAATGCCTTCATTATACAAAGAGGTGTTTCTCTCTGGCAGCCAAGAAAGCCCATATTTTGGCTGGGACCCGTAATGATGCCTTAAAACTTACAGGAGACAGATTTTTTCTTGCTTAACTTTATGCTGTTCACTGGTGCTCATTATATATCAAATGATTGACATTCAGGAGAATTCTTCTAATGCAAGTTCATTGGGGGCAAGAACTGGGAAGCACTAGTGTGTTGGAATTTCAATATCATGACCTATGTCTCCCTGGAAAGCAGGGGCCTGCCGCCAGCCAAATAGTGATTGCTTTGCAGGGCCTGGGATCTGTACGGCTCTGTCACGTATAAACAAGTAAATACTCATTTAGAACAGAACTTCGCAGTATTCTCATTAACAGACCATCTGTCAGGCATGCATCTCCTATTGTCTGCGTAGTGAGACTTGACATCTCTCCCATGTAGTCTCATGGGTTGGGAAGAAGTAAACAAAGGTGGTTTCTTTGAGGAGAAGGTAGCCACCTTGGTCTTTGATGGCAATGACAGTGGGCCAGCCCTGGGCTTCTGATCTTGGGGGTGCGGGGGGGGGCAGGAAGAGAATGGCTGCCTGTGTGTCTTACTTGGTATTGGCTCTGTCACGCTGTGCCACCTGGCACTCGTTAGCAAGTGCTATTATCTTTTCCTTCCATATGGTACTTCTCGTGGGCCGGGGGGGGGGGGGGGGTGGGGAGGGCGTGGCCACAGGGAGGTGTGCAGATTTTAACACACTTTACATTTGTGTATATGTTGTTGTTAAAATTGGAATAGGTGGGAGAAGCTTCATTTAGCTGATTTATAAATATTTCTGGTGTCAGCCCAAAAGAAGCATGATGGCGATAAGGGATTTCAAGTTAGAAAAACCCTCCCTTCCCTTCCCTTCCCATGTGGCTGCTTTCTTCAGTGTGCTTCACCTGTACAGCTGTTTGACTTGAACAAGAGTGAGAATCAGCCACTGCAGTCCCAGATTCTGTCCACCAGTTGCTGAGACTGTGTTCCGGGAATAAGGATCTGCTCTTGCCTTGATCAGTATTCAGTCCCATGGACTCGATCATTTGAACATTTGCCTCAGAGCTGATCGTGATTTTATTATGGAGAGCTGTGGTTTTTTGCTCAGCAGAGTTTAGAATGCAAGTCAGCCTCCCCTTCTGGTTGTCAACCAGAGCAGCTGTGGCTTTAATGGATGCGTTGCTAGACGGCCTGTGCAGAGGTGCTTTTCTCAAGCACCTCCCAGTATTTTGCTCTCATGCACCAACCTGAGAACCTGACCTCCTCCTAAGATGTGTTCCTACTCTGAAAAAGTATATTTGCCATTTGCTGCTTCTGTGACTGTGAACGAATTTCGTTTTGCCTTGGTTCCCTCACCCTTGAAGGAAGGATATTAGGGCCTGTCTCAAATGATTAGGGATTACGTTACATAATACACGTGAAGCTCTTAGAGGGATGCCTGGCACATGGTAAAGGTTTGATAAATGTTAAATACCTGTATTATGACTATGTTCCATGAGTTCTCAAAGCCTCATTGATGAAACAAGGTGACGATGCCTGTGTTGAACTGATAAAATAATGAGAATTACAGATGATGCCTGTGCAGTATTTGGCACTGTGCTTGACAGTGTCGAGTCCCAAATAAGTGACAGTGACTTTTACTATCATGCTATTTCTGCTTTAAACCTCTGGTATTTTAATAGGTCAGAAAAGAGAACTTAAGCTAGTGTTCAGCAGGTTACGAAGCCCTCTCATTCAGCTTTGGTTTTCAGAAGTGATCGCTGATACCTTGGGGAGGGGCTTTTCTAACGCAGCATTCACTTATCCTAGTAACTGCCTTGGGATTCCTCCATGAGCATTATAAATAGCCTGAGAATCTAGGTGTGCATTGTGTGGAGAATGTTAATGCTAACAGAGATGATGAAGTACAATCAGTGATTAAGGGACTGGTCAGATGAGTCTTGGGCAGCGAAAATCTCACAGAAGTGCTACAAACAGCGAGGTCCTTTGTACCTTGAAATGTAGGCTTGGTTTGATTTTTCTGTGGTATTCTTTGAGTTGCTATGGTAACTGTACATTTTCAAAATGCAGGTAAAAATATGAACACTAGGCTTACATGGGGAATACGCAAGCTTTTCCTTCAGCGTGTTGAGCACATTGGAGCAGATGGCAGTTACACAGGGGAAGTTTAGAAACAAAATTAACTTGTCCCAGAAAAACCCGAGTTGCATTTTTCACCAAGTCCACTCTCGTATTGTAGGAAGAGCCAGAACTGGTGTCTCGATCGTAAGTAAAAGGTGGTCAATCTTGTTTAAGTCTTTCAGCCATTCTAAGCGTGATTTTCCCTTTATAAAATGGGAACTCTAATTCCTTCCTGACATTGTCACAGGAAATTGAACAGGTCATGTAAAATGGCTTGGAAACTCTTAAATGTCCTTCATCTTTGAGGAAGCAGTAGACCATACTGGTTAGGAGCGTAAGCTCTGAAGTTGAAGACCCTGAGCTTACATTCTTGCTTCCACTACTTAGTCACTGTGTGACTTTGGCCAAATACTTAACGTGTCCAAGCTTCAGTGTTCTGGAAATGATAATGCCTCATAAAGTTTTTGTGAGAAGCAATTGAAATGATGTATTCAGATGCCCACCAGAGCACCTATAAATTTTGAACGCTCGGTAAATATTATCATAATGGCGCCCGCTGTTTAGACACCTCACTCTTTCCTGGACAAGTAAGAGAGGTTTAGACTTCTTTGGACTGATACTTCAGTAAAACATTATTTGCTACAAAACACAAATCCCATGTAGGGTAACCAAGTCTTGGATTTCTGCTGTGGTAGAGTTTAAGTGGCTTCAGTAACAACAGAAAGCTTTTTTTTTTTTTTTTTTTTTAATGTTCAGTTAGCCAGCATGTAATAGTGATGTAATGTTCATCAATTCATTAGTTGCATATAACACCCAGTGCTCATCACATTCCATGCCTTCCTTAATGCCCATCACCCAGTTATCCCATCCCCTATGCCCTTCCCTCCAGGATCCCTCAGTTTGTTTCCCCAAGTCCGGAGTCTCTCCTGGTTGTCTCCCTCTCTGATTTCTTCCCATTGAGTTTTCCCTCCCTTCCCCTCCACGCTATTCCTTCTGTTCCACATATGAGTGAAACCATATGATAATTGTCTTTCCCTGCTTGGAATATTACTCAGCCATCAGAAGGGATGAATACCTACCACTTGCAAGGACATGGATGGAACTAGAGGGGATTATGCTAAGTGAACTAAATCAAGCAGAACAATAGAAAGCTCTTATTGAGGAAATAACCTTTCAGAGATAATCCCACAACATGGTCCTCATTCATTTCCTGCCAAACAATTTCGACAGCAAAGCTCTGGCAGAAATTTCACTGTGGGTCAAGGTCCCTTCTAGTGGTTTTCAGGGGTTTTTTGTTGGGGGTTAGGGGGTGGGGAGTGAAGGTTGGGAATGATGTAAGTTAGTATCAATGTTGACAGTAACTAGAAGGGGACAGTTGTCTACATAACGAAGCTAATTTCAGTCCCAAGTTTTGATTTTCCAAAAGATTATTTTCCTTTGGGAAGTTTCTTCTGAGCATCCCAATTACTATTTTTAAGATTTTCATCTATAAGAGCCCCATTTTTCTGTCGGTACTTTATAAGAAATCAGGCAGGTGGTTGATAGTAATGATGGGCCCCTGTAATGTCCCACGTTGGGTAAATCCTACACATTCCTAGCCACAAAGGTCCAGGAGCTCACTGGCCAAATAATCCAAACCTTTCCAAATGCCTGTGATTGTAGATTAGAAGGAACCAAGGTTCCAGGTGAGAAGCGCATGCTTCTGATGCAGCTAGCTTTTCTCTGGAAGAACAGTAAGTTGACTCTCTGTCTGGGTCTGAGCTTTAAGCCCTGGTTGGTTTTCTTTAGAGTAACTTCTTTTTACTGGGTATTTTGCATAGGTTAGGTAGCTTGCTAAAGCCCGGTAAACACACTGGTTCATTTAAGATCGATGACAGCCTTGTGAGGTAGATAATACTCTCCCCATTTTCACATCAGAAAACTGGGTCTTGGGGAGGTTACATAGCCTCCCAGGAACTACACACATGGAAACCAAAAGGAGCTGGGATTTGACCCCAGATCTGCTTGATTCCTCAGCGAAAAGGTTAGCAGACACCATGTGGTACTACCCAACTTTATCCTCTTTGGTGCTTGTCTTTCTGAAGGTAGCATTTTAGATTGGAGAAGAAACTGGCCTGTGAACCAGGTGAGTTTCGTTCTAGAATCAGAGCTGTGTTTTGAGTAGAGCCAACCTTAGTGTCCTAGAAAGAAGATGAGACCTAGTTCTTCACAGAGTTTTGTATGAGGTTACACTAGTCAGTTAACCTGTATGAGATCCCAGTGTCCTTATCAATAAAATGAGGGCAGTCATTAAGGGATCACTCAGGCTCCTTGTTGTCTGGAGGTCCCTTGTTGGGAGGAACCAGAGTAGTCCTGTGTCCAGTCTCCTGCTGATGCCTCTTCCTGCCACTCCCATAGTCTTGTCGAAGAATAGTCCAGCCGCTGAACATGTAGAGTCAGGGTTAGTCCATAGCTGCCCATGTTTTGGGCTGGTCTTACTAGAAAATTCTACCTTTAACCTTAAGTTTTTCTCTCAGCAAATCTCCATATTGTGCTAAGTCCGTCATTTAGTTGGTCATTTCTATAGGGGTGAAAAATGTGGAGGAACAGTAGGCATGTATTTCTAATACCATACAGTGTCCTTATGATCGAACATAACTTTTACCTTTAACTAAGACGTGCCTCTTGTTCTCACTGATCTTTTTCACGTGAAGTACTCAGCTATCTTCCGGGCATACTGTGGCTGTGATGGGCATCGACTTCACACTTAGATACTTCTACAAGGTTCTTATGGACTTACTACCAGTGTGTAACCAAGATGGTGGCAACAAAATACGGTAAGCCCTTCAGGGACACCATTTTCCTGTCAAGCTGCAAAATATAAAGAAAATTATGTCCAATATCTCTAGGTGAATGGCAACCACATTGTCATGGTCAAGACCAGAAATTCAGTCCATGGCCTGGGTGTTCAATTACGAAGGTTTTTGTTCTTTCATTTTCCTAAGATGCCTGGCGTTTATGATTGAGACAAACACACTTGTCTCATAATAAGGAGAATGACTGTGGCACAGAATTCTCTGAAAGCTCTTATTTCTCTCTGAGTCAATAATTAGAGGTTTCCCAGATCTTGGGTGCTAGAAAGCCCAGAGGGTACTTTTGATGTTAACTTAGTTATTACGCCAAAGTCTTTATGGGAATTTCAGGCACTGGGACTGTTCCCTTTTACATTTCCCCAGAAAGAGGCTCATGGAATTAAAAAAGTCTTCACCTCCTGATTTCAAAAGAACGTGTCTGATCAAAACCAGGGTATTTCCTGGATTTAATGCAGGCCACTTTTTAAAACAGCTTTCTTCACTCTCGTGGACACTGCTTCGTATCACTGCTAAATTTCATTGGCCCTTCATAGGGAAATGCGGGGTCCATCGCACAGTGTTACGACCCTTGCTGGGTAAAATAGAGCAGCACATAGTCTTGATTAGAGCACTTCTGGCTTTGCTTATTTCGTGTTTCCATCAAATATATCTTTGTATGTCCCTGAAGGTTGTATTTTACATATATTTATCATCAAAAGAAGAAATTGTATGGCTTACTTAAATTCTTCACCTATAAATGCCCAAGGACACATCCTTCAGAATCTCCGTCCTCTGAAGGAAGAATAAACTAGCCACTTACATACCCTTGCAAAAAATTTTTGAGTCCATCTGCCGCGGACTAAGTGGACACATTCTGTAAGAGCTAAGTGGGTAGCCTCAGAGTCAAGTGTAACTTTGTTACCATCAACAGTATACGGGATAATCTGTCAGCTCAAGAATAATGTGTCCATTGGGGCGCCTGGGTGGTTCAGTCCCTGAAGTGTCTGACTCTTGACCTCAGCTCAGGTCTTGATCTCAGGGTCATGAGTTCAAGCCCCACTCTGGGCTCCACACCCTGCGTGGAGCCCATTAAAAAAAGTAATAATAATAATAACGTATCTGTCTACCTTCCTGCAGCTGATCTTCAGTGAATTCGTTTCAGTGACTTTTTACTGAGATAAATGCAATTTGTTTCGGGATTAGCAAGATAAATGCTGAGAGGGTCGAAAGTGTGTGTTCCTGAGGGATGTCCCTTGTTCTCGGCACAGGTGCTTCATAATGGAGGACCGGGGTTATCTGGTGGCACATCCAACCCTCATTGATCCCAAAGGACACGCCCCTGTGGAACAACAGCATATTACCCACAAGGTACTTGTTGCAAAGCCTAGAGCTCCATGCTTCTACAGCCTGTGGTTCATTAATTACATGGCTTGTGTCTTCTGTCTGCTTGACCTTGCTAGGAGCCCTTGGTAGCAAACGACATCCTGAACCACCCCAACTTTGTAAAGAAAAACCTGTGCAACAGCTTCAGTGACAGAACAGTCCAGAGGTTTTATAAATTCAACACAAGCCTTGTGGTAAGTTGATCCCTTGTGTTCTCACATCCCATCCCACCGCGGAATAGGAAATGGAGTCCTGGTTAGTATCCGAATAGGACTTCTGGCTGTTGCATTGCCTGAGAATTACCAAACGATAGGACTGGACCTCAGTCCAGCTCTCCAGGTTGACCAGTACAGGGTATAAAGCCCAGAGTGGGGAAGTGAATGTTTTAAGGTCTCGCACTCGGTGTTTTGTTTTGGTTTTGTTTGTTTAAAGACTCACCCAGCCGAAACGCTTTGAAATGTCTGCTGCACTCTGTTCCCACACTCTTATGTAAATATGTGTGGCTCCATGTGTTCCCTCTTCCTGTCTTCTCGAGATCCTGCAGCCTCCCTAAATTCCAAAGGCCAAATTAGGTCATTTCTTGGTCATCCACCCAGTTAGATGGGAACTCTCATGTGGATCATCTAAAAATAACTTCGTTTTTGTAGTTTAGAGCACTCTTAAGTATTTGATTTGAGATCACTGCGGACTTACCTAGGTATGGTTAAAGATCTTAAGAATATTCTTACTACTTCGCAGATAATCTTAACTGGCAAAGAACTAAAATGGGTAATGACAGAACCAACATTCAAAAAGTTATTCACAAGAAGGACGCTCCTTATTTAGAATATTTATATCATTAAATGTGTAATTAAAAATTTTAAAGATGCATTGGGTTGTTTGAAAATCCTTCTCTCAAAAAAGCAGTTTCAAAAACAATTGGGGAACAGGAGAGTTTAAAAAATGAACAGGGCGCCTGGGTGGCTCAGTGGGTTAAAGCCTCTGCCTTCAGGTTGGGTCATGATCTCGGGGTCCTGGGATCGAGCCCCACATCCAGCTCTCTGCTCGGCTGGGGGCCTGCTTCCTCCTCTCTCTCTGCCTGCCTCTCTGCCTACTTGTGGTCTCTGTCTGTGACAAATGAATAAATAAAATCTTAAAAAAAAAAAATGAACAGGTCAGTGGGATAGTGCTATCAGAGTAAAGGAACTCATGATGACTATGTTTAGACTTCATCCCATTCTAAGGAACACGCTCCTTAAAGGAGATGTTGACACACTTGAGTGCGATGAGAAGGGAGCTGCCAGGTAAGTAGTGGTTCTAAGAAAGTCTGATTTCCTCTGTGTATCTTCTACCATTGGTGCAGTGACTTCCTGAGCCTGCAGCAGACAAAGCCAGGCTACTCTGGGAGAAATTGTTCAGAAACGCAAAATTTTAGTGGAAGATGAATTAGAGTAATTTCTTAACAGCTCAAGTTATTCCAAAATGGAACTGGGGCCTTTCTGGCTAGTGGAGCTAACAGGATGATAGGCCTGTATGATTGCTGATATAGTAGGGGCGGGCGTCTTCCAGGCAGGGGAAAATTCATCTAGACCTCTAAGAATCTGTTTGGTGCCACAATTCTCCAAGTTCGGCTTTGCCTCACCGTGCACGTAGAAGGGATAACTGGCGTGGAAACGAGCATGGGATCACATAGTTGGCCTGCTACGTTTGATACACATGCAGAAAAGGAGGGCCATACTCAGCCTCACTGTGCTGCTCTAGAATCTTTGGTTTTCTGTATGGTAGACCGATTGGGCATGTCGGGGAGCAATCACATTTTTCTTGTCATAGAATGAAGAGATGGATGCTTGTTTTAGTTATTTAACTATTCTGTTTAAATATTATTTCATATCCTGGAGGCAGGAAACTGGACTGTTAATGAGTCTGGTTTTTAAATTTTATTGTTCTAGAAGAACAGAGGTTTGTTATCCAAGGTGGAGCAGGAATGCACGTTTTCTGGTGGATTAAGTTTGCCCTTGAATGCATTTTAAACTATTCCTTACCCAAAAGTTGTCTTTCATTGTTTCTTGCACTTGCTTTCATGTTATGATACGTTGTAATGTGTTTTTAAAAAAAGATTACAACACAGCTATAAAAATTGTATCTGTAGAAGCATAGATAAAAGAATATATACACAACGGTTAAATGGGAATTGGGAATGATCTCTGGTATTAAGGAAAAATTGTATTTTTCCAACTTTCAGCAGTAACCCTCTATTACTTTTGTAGTCAGAAATGAAGTTTTATTGTAAGCTATTTTCAGCAGGTGGTTGAAGGGTTGTTTTCACCACGGCAGGGCTGAATCTTTGCATTGTTGTCTGTCACTTCTGACAACCTCCATTGTCTCCAGGGAGATTTGACAAACCTCGTGCATGGCAGCCACTGTTCGAAGTACAGACTGGCAAGGATCCCAGGAACCAATGCGTTCGTTGGCATCGTCAATGAAACGTGCGACTCCCTCGCCTTCTGTGCTTGTAGCATGGTGGATCGGCTCTGTCTCAACTGTCACCGGTAAAAATGCAGTGCGGCTCTCTTTACTCGACTGTTGACTATCTGAACCAATGTCAGGCGTTTCGTAGCGGCATCTGCCAAATAGTGCAGGGGTGTGTCCCAGAGAAGAAGAAGGTCCTGGTTATGGAGGTGTTTCCCGCTGTGCGATTTGCCAAAGAGTCGTGGATTGAGGCCAGTTATGTGTTTAAACCTTTGGTCCTAACTTCCCTTTAACTGTCCCTTTTGACTAGCTCACAGTGTCTTCTGTTTTCATTCTTCTGTACAGTATAAAGTTTGTCATTGACCCTTTGCATAGTGATTTTCTTTTTGCCTTTCAGAATGGAACAAAATGAATGTGAATGTCCCTGTGAGTGCCCTCTAGAGGTCAATGAGTGCACCGGCAACCTCACCAATGCAGAGAACCGGTAAAATGCACATATTGCATAAATACGTGTTTTATATCTATCTATCTATCTATATATCATAAACACACATGTATAATACATGCACATGGGAGCCTCCTTTATAGATGTGTTCTGGGTTGTGGTATAAGAAGATGATTCATTCTAATGACTTAACTGTTCACTGAGTCAGAGTTCAGGTCTTAAAACGAAGTCCTCTTTCAGGTTACATTTAAACGCTGTGAAAACGTTTAAAATTATATGCAGTCCATACAAAAAACTGCCAGACTGTTACCAGCATTCACATGCGTCAGATACGTTATGTACATTGAGTCACTTTGTTTTCAAATTAACCTTGTGATAGATCTGTAGGTGCCTTTCATACACACATATGCGCTTATATCTAATTTAGCATTCTTTATCTTAGTGACAGATCTTATGGCCACAGTTAAATAAGTTGGGATAAATCCCTTCTCTAGAGCTTAAATGAAGGAATCCTGCATGTACTGATACACAGTTAAATGTTTAAGTGTAGAAAAAATGTCTAAAGGGACCCTCATTAAACAGTTAATAGCGATGACCTCAGAAAAGAAAGATGTAGAGTGGTAAGTCAGGGAGATAACTTTCACTTCTGATTATACACATTCCTATTTTGTGGGATTTTTATGACTTTATATGTGTGTATATATATGTATTTGTATATATATATATGTGTGTGTATATATTTCTATATTTGTGTATATTTGTGTATATATATATGTGTGTGTGTGTGTATAAAAAATTATATATTACATATGTATATTAAAATTATTTCTGTTGTACATAAAGATGAACAAATGGATGCTCAGAGTGGTTAAGTGATTGGCCCACGGTTCCATCCAGTTAAGTGGCCAGGATTCAAGCCCGGATCTGTCTGACGCTATCCAGGGCCAGAGACATGATGAGTTTGGAATGTGAGCACTGTTGGTCCTAACCTGCAGACTTGCCCCTGCCTAGAAATCCAAGCTGCGAGGTCCACCAGGAGCCAGTGACGTACACAGCTCTTGACCCTGGCCTGCAGGATGCCCTTCACCAGTGTGTCAACAGCAGGTGCAGCCAGAGGATGGAGAGTGGGTAAGCCTTGCCTGGTGCTTGCTTCTACATCAGCACAGTCGCTGCAGGAGTAGAACCGAGGAGGGAGTGGTGACCGGCAGCCCCACTGAGCTTTTCTTAAAGGTGTACTAGTTTTACAGACCCAAAAGTGATTCCTGTAAGCCTTGTATCCAGCAGACTTAATGTTGTCCAGTGTCTACTTGTTGTAGCTGTGTGGCATTTGTACTGTATGTCAGTCACGTCATCCGTGGATGGGAAAGTTATTCTTGAAATGAAAAGAATGAGAGGGGACATGGCCCGAAGGAGCAAGGGCCAAGGGGCAGGTATGTGACACATAATAGCTCATTGAGTCTGCTGTCTTACAAAGCAGATAGGCTTCATGGTAGCTTTGAGAACCAGAAACAATGTGTCCCCTCCTCCCAGTCCCTCCCCTCTAGGATGTTTGGGACTAGCCATCCTGGGGATAGCTCCCAGGGGTGGGAGCCGGCTGATTTGTTTCTTGCCACTGCAAGTTGCCATTTGATGAAACAGTCTGTGGGTAGAAGGGGCAGCCAGTTCTACTTTCAGTGCATGTTTTAGCGGAGGAATTGTCGAGCATCAGAGATGAATTTGGGATGTCAGGCAGTAACTCAAAATCAGTTAAATTGGAGAAACACTGCATACATTCTCTTAGAAAATCATAATTCACTTCACATATGAATAGGTCTAAGAAATTGGCAGTAAGAAAGCTGTTTAACTTAATCAGTATTTCCCCAGTTTATATGACCATTTTTCCTTCCTTCCTTTTTTTTTTTTTTCTTTTGAATGACCCTACGCTTGGGGTCAGGCCAAAGTCTAACAAACCTTGGGGCCATTTGGTCTTTTAAGATGATTTGGGATAATCCTGCACTGATCTGTGATGTGTGGATTTTGTGGAATGATCCACAGGGAGAACAGTTTTACGTCTCTCATTTCCTAGCTGTTGAGAGACATAAAACAGCTATCCCCTGGCAGGCTGTTGCTATTCTTCTTTTATAAGGACAGGAAACTAAAGCTCAAGGACTTACAGCATAGTAACTAATGGTGCTCTTGAGAGCTGTCTAATGGCTAGGTTCATATGCTGTCCTCTGCCCGGCTCTGCTTCCTGGGACACTCAATGTCATCTCTCTGGCAGGGACTGCTTTGGTGTGCTGGACTGTGAGTGGTGCATGGTGGACAGTGATGGAAAGACCCACCTGGACAAATCCTACTGTGCGCCCCAAAAAGAATGCTTTGGGGGAATCGTGGGAGCCAAGAGTCCTTATGTGGATGACATGGGAGCGATAGGTATGTTGGGAACCTGGAATATTTTGATTCTTGAATATATATATATATTTTTTGTTGTTGTTGTTGTTGCCTCTACACTAGAACAAAACTCTTAAAATGATCCTCTACCCTATTTTCCTGTTTTCTTTGCCAGTAGTTTTTAGTTACAAAACCAAGGCAGATAATTACCTTCAAAGTTGGCTAGATGTTCTGTGCAGAGTAAGCAGCCATGTTTCCTGCCAAATTTTACAAGCCCGGAATTCATTCCCATAAAGCTTACTCTGAGAAACGTCAGGCCTGATTTCTGTGTGGCTGAGCTGTGGAGTTCGAATGCGAGTCCCAGCTGTCAGAAGAACAGGGCCAGCGGCGGGTGGAATGGCCACTGCATGTCAGTCTCCTGCTGCAGCCTTCCCTCGCGGCGTTTGCAAAGCAGAAGCCTGTGGCTCCAGATCAGCCCTTCAGGTGTTGGGGCCAACAGAAACCAGAGCTATCTAATGTGGTCTGGGTGGATTAGGATGGGGGATGGGGGCCCTGTGGAAAGGAACATGTCTGGGACCAGACCCCAAGACCTCAAAAATACCACCTGCCTAAGATTTTCTCAGTGTTTTTCTGGAGCTAGCACGAGTGTCTTCTGGAGCTAAAGCTTACCTGGCAGGTGAGCTACTTAAACCTTTATTTTTGTTTTTAACATCTCCCCACATTAACCTGTCTGTAGGAGAAGAGCTCCTCCTAGGTGAGGAAGGGTCCTGAGCTCACACATTACCCCTATACCAGATGAGGACACAGTCGAAGTGACCTTGTTCTAAGACATCCCTTTACGTACCCACCTGCAGACTGGTGCTTGGGGGTGCAAATAGTGTTTTAAAGGGAAACCATGAGCTTTGAAATGTGATTCTTTTTAGGGGTCGTGTGTCAGATCCATTGCCATCAAGGACACCCGGTACCATAAATATATGCTAAGAGGCTCACATTGGCCTCAGCTCTGTACTGCATGACATGTCTTCCAAGAGCTGCCCACACCACGGGGAGCTAGGCTCTTGGCCCTGGGCAACCCACGTTTAAGTGATTCTCATCGTCTCACTGGTTTCAGTAGTCCTTGCCAGGGGTGCACTTGCTGGGCCAAGCAACCAACGTTTAAGTTGAGAACCAGAGATTAAAGGAAGCCCTTTAAGTTCTAAGCTCCCAAGTTCTGGTGGGTTCTCTTTGATGCTTCCTGAACTTAGAGCAGCTGCCCTTGTCTCCACCAAACCCCGCCCCCCTCTGTTCCTTCCCATCTTATTCCCGTCCTTACTGCCTGCCACACTTGGGAAGTTGTTACGAGGGACATCTGTTTGTTTGAACAAAGGTGACGAGGTGGTGACACTGAACATGATCAAAAGTGCCCCCGTGGGTCCCGTGGCTGGAGGCATCATGGGCTGCATCATGGTCCTGGTCCTGGCTGTGTACGCCTACCGCCATCAGATTCATCGCCGGAGTCACCAGCACATGTCTCCCCTGGCTGCCCAAGGTGAGCTCCAAGTGAATCCAAAGCTCCTCCAGGAGGCAGCAGCCTCGCTCGTGTCCTTCCAAGACTGGAAGGACGGCAGCCGATCGAGGAAGCCGCTGAGCGCTTAGGAGAACGGCACTGCGTTTTCCGCTCCCATGGAAAAGAGTCGCCCGTCCCCAAAGCCTCCTTTCCTCCTTTAGCCCGTGGCTCACTCTTCAGTGTCTAGACCCTTTGAGCTTCTTCTGGATTCCCCAGAAAATCCCTAGCTGCCCCCTCCTCTTCTGCAGCATTAGCCTACTGCAGCCGGCCTCTGGAATTAGCCAGTCCCAGGAGCTGGGATGCCACGTGGGAAGTTTGGTTCTTCCCTCGGCTCCAATGCGTGGTCTCTCCTGTTCAGACAGGTGGAGCAAAATGACCCCAGGCCGCCACTGGCAGGGCCATGAATCTGTTCTTTTGCCGCTATTATTACATACCGTGAATGAGCATATGCAAGGCCATCATCACATCTCTCAGATGGCATAAGTAATGGAAGTCAGATACAAAATGAATAATCTGCGGTCATGGTTTCCTTACCAGTAGTTAAATGTGGTGTCTGTGCTCATTTGCGAGGACAAAACCATTGAATGGCCATCCCCGGCCTCCCTAACAGCCTCCAGAGACGGGTTAAGCTGACCTCTTCGGAGATAAGGCTCACTCACCATTCTTCCTGGACTTGGTCAGGAGCCACTTGGCTCAGCCTTGCGGCAATCAGAGCGGGTTACTGTTGCAATATTTCACTGTGGCCGCGGTGCTGATAAGGGGAAGGAGGGACGATCTTGGGATAATGTTGCCTGATTGAGGAACAGGGCTGATCACACAGCTCCTTCCCTTTGGTAAGATTTGGGTGCCAGGATTTCCCCTAGGTCAGGATGTGACTATCATCCAGTGTTACGTTACATCTGGCCTCTGATGGGTTTTGTAGCCCCACGTTATCAGCACACTCGGTGGCTTCAGACCCCTCCCTTCGGTTTTAGGTACATTAGTAGAGACTTAAAGATCCATTAGCCTCTATCAACTTATTCTCTCCTTTCTTTAAAAGTTGACCTCGGGTGTCTCTATTGATTATTCACTTCTGGTCCTCCCTCTTCTGATTCCTGCTCCCCTCTCCTTAAAAAAAAAAAAAAAAGGCTGGGACATCACTGCGGTCTTCCAAGTCTGGACTCATCCTTGATGGGACGCTGTCACCCAGCCATCAGACGAGCACTCTGCAGGGTATTAAAGTGGGTGATTTTGTTTGATTAAATAGTCATGTTTCTCTCTTTTTAATGATGGGTAGAAATGTCAGTGCGTATGTCCAACCTGGAGAATGACAGAGATGAAAGGGACGATGACAGCCACGAGGACAGAGGCATCAGTAAGTATTCCAGGTGCCTTGTGGCAGAATGTGCCCGCGGGAGACTAACCCAGAATAAACGTTCTTTCTTATATCCTTTTGGCTTATATTAGAATTTAACAATCTCTGACATGAGCAAGGTTTTTCCTCTCCCATTTTCATTAGAACGAGTGTCCGTGCTTGCTTTGTTTTAGAAAAATCTTAAAAGATCTCGTGTTGTTCCTTTTTGCATGAAGTGCCTTGGCCTAAAACCCCCCACTTACATTTTCTTTCTCCTCCTCGTTCCTTTCCCAGCCTAGTAGTATTTCAGAAAGGCAGTCATCAGGCATACATTGTTTTAATACCTCAGGGAATTAACTGTGTATATCTTGGGGTGGGCAGTATTTCTTTATCAAAAGAGAGTTCTGTTAGAGATACATACCTTGGCCTTGGACTCTATAGAACGTATCTTCTTAACACATGTCGGAGATGGGACGTCTCACTGCTGCTAATCCTCACAATTAAAAAAAATTACTATCCTCTCCGAAGAGTAGGTTCTCCAACGTGTGAATGAGCCTGCTCAGAGCAAATGTGCTTGATGCATTGAAGATCCCGGCATACGCGTGACTAACTGTCCTTGCTTCCCGCAGTCAGCAATACTCGGTTCATAGCTGCCGTCATCGAACGACACGCACACAGCCCAGAACGGAGGCGTCGCTACTGGGGTCGATCAGGAACAGAAAGCGATCATGGTAAGGTCTGGTTCCTTCTGAGGAACCCGGTGGGCTCCTGTGGGCCAGTGCTCACACCCACGCTTCTCCCTCCTGTTCTATGCTCCAGTGAATTACTCTGACATAGTTTTCCAAAGGACACCTTCCAACATGGCACATTTATAGGAGCCCAAGGGTAGTTTTGATTCCGTCTCTGCACTCCCAGGCATAAGTGAGAGGACCTCTGGGCACACAGATTGCTTCTAGGTGTCCTCCATGCGTGAGGATTCATGTTGTCTAAATGGAACCTGCTTACCACTCCACTTGATCCTTGGTCATTGGCAGTCCTCGTAGGTCCTACCACACGGTGTTGCTAGTTGGCGAACAACAGCATCCTCATGGGCGCTCTCAGCCACGTACACTTGGGACGTGACAGGAATCCGTGCTTCCTTCTGGCATTCCTTGTCCTGACCTCCAGCGTTGCCTGGAAGGTTCGGGGAAGGCTTCACCAAGGAGACCACAATTTGCACTGGGCTTAAAGGGTGAAGAAAGAACAGCTGGGGGCAAAGGATATTAGAGGCAGAGGGACTGGTGTCTAGAGTTAGTCATGGCGGTTGTACAAGGCGGCTCTGAGATGCTCAGAAAGGGTAGGGGCTGGATTGTGAGGAGACACGAAGGCTGAGTGGGCTGTGAATTATTCAGGTCCACATGCTGTACCAAAGACTTGGCCACCACCTAGCTTCTTACCTTGCCAGAGTCCGTGTGGCCTGGCGTCACAGAGAACAGCAGACATGTTGTTGGAGTGGCAAGACTCGGGGGGGGGCTCTCCTGTAATTGGAAGATCTTTTTATTTTTCACAGGGCTGTTTAATTTTCCCTTTACTTTCTTCCCAGAATCAGGTCTTTTTTAAATGCATAGATAATGCATTCGTACCTTTTTTTGACTCTTCTTTCTCCACATCTACCCTGGGGGAGGAAAAAGAAAAAAGGATGTCTTCAAACCATGTGCTCCCACCCCTGTGCTAAAAAATGCAGGGGTGGGTATTCATCAAGGCGCCCAGTGCTGCCTTTTACATGAGAGCCAGGGATTCAGACTCCCTTCGGAAAACAGGAGAAGCCAAAACTCTGATTTGTAAATTGGAGCCTCCTAATTTGGGCTCTGAATGACATTGTTCCCACCAACTAAGTAGAAACTTCAGGTTTCTATGGAGAGTCAAAGCACAACTTAAATTTTTCAGTTTCTTTGACTTTTCTGCCTTTTTTCCCCCCCTAAAAACCTTTGAACCTGCATAAATTCATTCTGCCAGGCAGTTCTTTGCCTCTTCTCCTTTGAATAATAAAACAGGTTTGAGGCTACTAAAGTTCAACAGAAATAATTTCTTATTCAGCAGAAATACTGAATCCTTTCTCTCTGTCTCTCTCTCTCTCCCCGGATAGAAATTGCTTCAATACAAAGTTGGAATTCTGAATGACGTTTACGATGTTCCATTAGCTCTCCCATTGTCTTAGGAAAATAGCATATGAAGCAACACTTAGATAAAAGGAAGAGCGCAGTGTCAGTATCTGAAAGCTAAGGGATCTAGCTAAGGGCTTGCTTACTTTCATTTTTCACAATAATTGGGTCCCTGTTATCCCCAAGGAATGAAAAATAGTTTCTCATGCAGACAGAAAGCAACACCAAAAGAAATGGAAGGCATTGACACGCCATGTAATTCCAAAGGCACCACACAATCAGTAGCATTTAACTGCATGGTGTCCTATCCCTGAGCCTGTGTGGCGGGTCACTAAGCGTGGTGGCATCAAGTGCTCGTGTCCCTGTGATGCCAAGAATAAGCCAACCATAGGTCCACATCACAACAAGGAAATCTAATTGAATCGTTTGGTCAGCACACTCCTTTCTTGGCTCTGTGTTCTTCTGCTTGGCGCGTAGATTGGGCACCTGCTCTTTGCTCGGCCTAGTGGAGGGACTTGGTGAAGGGGTGGCCTCGTTTCTGTGAACCAGAGGGTATGGAGGAACTTAGAAGATAGGGTCAAGGACAGCTCCCTGGGAGCCCTCCTCTCCTGGTCTTTGCAGGTTATGAGATCTTCTGAGGCTACTTTGGACTTTAGTATTCTAATGATAAAAATGGGAAGGAGGGGCACCTGGCTGGCTCAGTGGGTTAAGCCTCTGCCTTTGGCTCAGGTCATGATCTCAGGGTCCTGGGATCGAGCCCCGCATCGGGCTCTCTGCTCAGCGGGGAGCCTGCTTCCCCCCCTCTCTCCGCCTGCCTCTCTGCCTACTTGTGATCTCTGTCTGTCAAATAAATAAATAAATAAATCTTTTTTTTTTTTTTAATGGGAGGAGAAATTTCTCCCTGGTGAAGTTGTAAGCATTGAACGTGATAACATACAGCAGACATGTTGAGCTCAGGGTTGACCTCCCTACCTCCATACCCACTCTGCCCTCAAGGAATTTACAGTCTAACAAGAAACTGTAAATGAATTCATGTATTCATAAGACAGATAAAAGGCTGAATATGACCGCTTCCTTAAAAGCCCAGAACAAAGCAGAAGATAGGGAGATAGTTCACTTTTATCAGCACGTAAACCATGGACGTCCCCTGGAGGGGAGGTGGCATTGGTGCTGGCCCTTGAACTGGTAAAATCCTAGCCCCATGGTTCTTTGCAACACAGTGAGAGAACTTCCACATGAGTCCTTGGCTCTGAGACACAAAAGGGAAACTCAAAAGAATAAAAGACATGAATATGTAAATACTGAACAGTCTAGACTTTTCGTGGTATGGTTTAGAATTGTGATCTTCCTAGAATTAAAACTGAACATGACCAAGTCAAACTTGGGGACTCCAAGCTGTATTTTTATTTAGAAATACAGTTGACCCTTGAACACGGTAGGCATAAGGGGCACCGACCCCGCCCCCTCCGCCTGCCGCAACTGGCACAGTTGAAAATCCATGTCTGACCATGACTTCCCAAATGCTTAATGACTAATAGTCTACTGTTGACCGGAAGCCTTACCAATAACATAAACAGTGGATTAATACACATTTTGTATGTTACATGTGTTACGTACTGTATTTTTACAACAAAATAAGTTAGAAAAAAGAAAATGTTAAGAAAATCATAGAGAAAAATGCATTTACACTACTGCCCTGTATTTATGGAAAACTGGCCTCTACGGGGTCCCATGTAGTTCAAACCCCTATTGTTCAAGGGTCTGTGGTATTTCATGTGTCCAAGAGAATTTTATGCTTCAAAGGAATCTTACTTTAATTTTTCTGTCTTAAAAAAAAACTACTCAAAGTAGGAATAGTTTTTGAAGTTGACGAAAATTTTTTGTCAATATTCTAAGACTGCTTAGAATGATGATTTTTCAGCAGTTGACTATTTCTTGTTACGCTCACAGTTAGTGATTAAAAAGTTTACTCCCTACTGATGCTTTCAGTTCTATATGTGCTCTACTATTCTCTCTCCTGAAAATATCTTGCTCCGATTATCAGCTGGCTTACTTAAGTTAAAAACCACTGATGTATTTTTGTTCCTTGTGAATTCATGGGTTAGTTACTATTTCATTAGAAACTTTATGCAAATGTGTATTAAGCCACATTTTTTCTTTGTAAAAGGGAAGTTTCCTTTTAGTGAAGCAAATTCCACAAAGCTTCAGAGGCAAATGCTGAGCCTTGAAAACCTGGTCAAAACCTACGCGGTGCAGCAGGAGACCATTTTCTAGAGGTGCACAGTCTCCTGCAGTTATTCTCTGTGACCACAAGGTGGAGAGTGAGTCGTAGGCACCCTCCCGGCCTCCCCCAACCAGGTACCTAACATCACTAACCATCAGGAGAGGTTTCTCAGGAACCATCAGCTAAATATGTAAGCAGAATACCAAAGAGCCGCAACCTAATCTTGAGTCTTCTGTTCTTTTTTTTTTTTTTTTTAAGATTTTATTTATTTATTAGAGAGAGAGAGAGAGAGAGCATAAGTAGGCAGAGGGAGAGGGAAAAGCAGGCTCTCTTCTGAGCAGGAAGCCTGATGCGGGGCTCGATCCCAGGACTCTGGGATCATGACCTGAGCCGAAGGCAGCCCCTTAACCAACTGAGCCACCCAGGCGCCCCTTGACTCTTCTGTTCTTAATGAACACCTGATCTCCTTTTCAAAGCCTACTTTTTGCTTGAGGTCATTTTTGCAAAGACTTCACTGTGTACATGTTTAGATAGTAAAGAAATCTTTCCTTTGAAAGTGTTTGCTGATATCCTTTGTGTTTTCAATAGAGCTTCCCCCTCCATGAGTCAGACTGAGTCTGTCTTATTCATCACTGTTCCTAGCACTCAACAGAATTGCTTGGTGCTAAGTAAATACTCCATTTGTTAAGTGAGAGCATGTGTTTGCCTTTTTCTTCCTCCTCCACAGCTTGCCATCCCTCCCTCCAGATTGTCATTAATTACTGAGATAAGAGGAAGCCTGAGTAAGTTGCAGAAGGGTTGAGTAATGTCCCCAGAACAAGTGGTTCACTTTGGAAGCACCTCCGCTGGGGGGTTCCCCTCAGAAAGCCAGGGCAGGAGAAATAGGGGTGTCCCTGAGTTGCTTTGGGAACTGCTCAGCTGTCAAAACCACCCTGAGCTGATGACCAGCTGATGACCAGGGTTTAGGACATCCCTAGACTCTTAGGTTGGAAGCCCTGGGAAGGGCCCAGGGAATCCTGGAGTATCTTCGTTGTTAGGTGAGCCTGCTGAATGTCACACTAGGGGAAACCACAGATAACTCGGAAAATTAATACCATTGTTTTGGGAGCACAGTCATGTGATTTTGAATAATGAAGTGCCTGCTTTGTGTGAGGCATTGTGTTAAGTATTAGGAGTACCGAAATAAGGCTTTGCTCATGGACAAGGCAGCCCCGAAGTTCATTATGTAGTAAAAATCTCAGTGAGAGATGTGTGCAAAATGCCATTTAAACTCACAGAAGGGGCATCTGACCGCATGTGGGCTGAAAGCTGGGGTTTGGGTTGCTTCCCAGAGAAGACCTTTAAAAACCGAAGCATGAAGCACAATAGCCAGACGACGGTGGGGGGGGGGGGGGGGGGAGGGGGGGACAAGCAGAAGGGCTGTCACGAATGTGCAAATGAGCTAACAGTTACCATGGGTGCTTGTAAATGAGTGGAGATGGGAAGCCATCAGGATATACTCGGAGGCAAGATAAAAACAGCCCAGCGCTAACGGCTGGCCGACAGTAATCAGTCAAGACCCCGAGATTCTGCTGGAAGTGTACATTCTTCTCACGTCCCCTGTGTGTGAAGCACCTGGTAGCATAAGCACACCGAGCGCTTTGTAGCTGGGGTTTCAGAGCCCGCCGTCCCGTTCCTGAGCGAGCATTGCCCAAGCTGAGAAGCTCACTGGGGCTCCCAATCCCTTACTCTTGAGGCAAGGCATCATTGTTTCCCCAGCCCCTAAACCTAGATACCTCAGACTTGTCCAAGGATGTCTTCTCTCCTGGCAGCTTCACCAGGCAAGTCCATTTGGCCACCGGATTCAGCCCACTCAGCTCTCCAGTGGTCCCTTGAAGCCAGCTACTTGCTCTAACACCACTACTGTCCCTTCTCCAGATCCTCATCCTCTCCTGGGCCAACACTCCAGCCTCTTGTCCTCTGAGCCGCTGATCCCCCCCTTCCTTCTGTCCAGTCTCCCTGTTGCCACAAGGGATCTTCTTCAACCATCTTATATCATTGCCACTCCCCTTCACCCTCTTGCCTGTTACCCTAAATCCCAATTGCTTGCCCAACCAGCCTTCCTGATCTGGTCTGAGCCCGCATGTCCAGCAGTGTCTCCTATGTCTTTCTCTCCCATACCGAGCTTTTTATCATCCCCCAAGCCCACCAGAGACTTTGAGGCTACTGTGTCTTTGTATTTGCTTATCTCCTGGCCTGCGGTACCTTTCCACCCCTCTCTTGACCTAATGAACACCTTCTCTCCCATAAGAGCTACCTTAAGTGTCTTCCTCAGGTATCCTAAGCCAAGTTAACCAGCTTTGGTGTTCCTTTCAGTATGCCTCTGTTTTAATACCTGTGTTTCCCCTTCTTGACTGTGGACTTCTTGGGGCCTCACCTTTACCCCTTTTTCTGGTGAGCAACCCCCAACCTGGCACCAAGAAGACTCTCCAAGACCCATACGTCATTGAATTCCCCATTATCTGCCATGACTTCTCATGGCCAACACTCCTGCGTTTCTGCCTAGACATCTCCACAGACTCTTAAATCAAGATACCTGAAACAGGGATGCCTGGGTGGCTCAGTGGGTTAAGCCTCTGCCTTCGGCTGAGTTCATGATCCCAGGGTCCTGGGATCGAGCCCTGAATCGGGCTCTCTGCTTAGCAGGGAGCCTGCTTCTGCTCTCTCTCTCTCTCTGCCTGCTTCTCTGCCTACTTGTGATCTCTCTCTCTGTCAAATAAATAAATCTTTAAAAAAAAAAAGATATCTGAAACGAAATTCATTTCATTCCTGGGACTGGGGATCTCTAAGTCTTACCATCCTGACTCCAAGTCACAGTCCCTGTTAACACCCCTTCAGCAACCCCCAACAACCCTCTCACTTTTAATAGCTTACCAACTTCTCTTGTTTCTGCTCCTGAGGTACTTTTCAATCTGTCCAATCCCGTACCCATAGTTTTAATTCTTAGTCTCTCATCTGGGCTTTTGAAATAACCTAACTGTCCCCCCCCGCTTTTTATTCATAAGAAAAAGCTGCCATCAGAACTCTCTTTGAAACACGGAAAGTGTCATACTGTTTTGTTTTGTTTTTTTTTTCAGTCTGCTCAGAACGTTCTGTGGTTTCTCCATTTTTTTCTCCTTTGACATGGCCTTTATAATCCAACTATAACACCCTTTTTCACCTCCCTCCTGCCACATTCTCCAGCTGCCTACCAGCACTCACCCTAGCCACGTGGTACAGGAATGGCCTTGGGGTTCCACACCCCTGTGGTTGTGCTCTTCTGTCCTCTTGCTCCTATCCACCTACCAAACTCCTACACATCCTTTAAAGCCCAACTAAGATAGGAGTTTCTCTGCAAAACTTTCTCATTCTTCTAGCCGCAGTTATTCCGTGTCCTAGATTTCAGTTCTACCTCAACCATAGCACTTAAACCATTATCCGCAGTAGAATAAACCTAGCTTCATGAATATGTGTCTCCTGTTCAGTTGTGAAATCCTCAAGGAAAAGAGACATCTCTTATTCATGGTTCATCGCCTCCCCCTCTGGCCCATAATGGTCTTCTGTCAATGAATAATTGAGCAGACCCAACCCTGTGTTGGCTTTATTTCCCAAGCACTAGCTTTTAAGCTCCCTGCACGCGGACCAGGTTTTCACCTTGCTGTCTCCTACAATGCCTAACACAGTATCTTGTACCTAGTAGGTGCACAATAAACAATGCTCATTGAGTTGGACCGGCTTAAATAAGTCTGTCATTTGAGAAAGGTTTCCTTGAGGCCAGAGAATTGCCTTTCTCATTTTTGCACCGATCATACATTCACAGCCACAGACGTGACTAGCGCTACCCATGGGCGAGTGCTGATGGATGCTAACCGTAGATGCAGTGGAAATATTAATGAGCTGTCACTTCTCAACATTTTTAAAGGGGATTTCTGCAATATTTAAAAACATGCCAGCGTTCTTGGAATGGAATCCTTTGATCAGCAAGGGCATTTTCTTCTGAAACATGTATTACTTAGAATACCGAAAGAAATTAATCTTTAAATACAGTGAGCCAGCTTACACAGAGAATAGCTGATTCCTTTGCTGGTTGCTAGGGGTGTGCGTGGAGTTAGTATTCCATGGGGTGGAACTTTGAGCAAGTTCGTTAACCTCTCTGATCGTCATCTCCGTCACCCGTCAAATGGGTGTTAAACCGCATGCCTGATTGGGGTGTGGGAGCCCCAGGACGCTGGTGCCTGCCACGGAGCAGGTGTGCAGGTGATGGTGGCCATCGTTTTTGTTCTCACTGTGTTGTGACGCCACATTCAGGCCTGTCCAAGCCCCGCTCCCCCCCCCCCCCCGCCCCCCACCCCGTCCGAGTCCTGTTAGGACATTTTTTTTTTTTTTTGAAACTGCCTTTCTTTTTTTCCTTAAAATAAAATTAACAGTCCTAATCTTTATCTCTGGGAAAGGTGTAGGAGGATAGCTCCCAAATGTCAATGGTAGTTACCTATGGATTAGAGGGGATGTGCAGTGATGTTAGTTTTTGTTTTGTTGTTGATTTGGGGATTTGGGAAAAGGCTGCTTGTAGATTTTTTTTTTCCTTATCTGTGCTCTCTCAGGTGTCTAAAACCATTATGGTCTTACTGTGTAATTGTGGAAAAAGAATAGCTAACAAAAGATATCTTTAGAAATAAGTCACTTGACCGTCCGCTGGCAGCCTGCAGACGTGGGCCGCCGGGTAGCACAAAGACAGGAGCATCTCCCGGCGTCGTAGGCATCCGAAGTCCCGTCCCCTGCGTCTGGAAGTTCTCAGCTGCCTGTTCTGTTCCCTTTCCAGGTTACAGTACCATGAGCCCGCAGGAAGACAGTGAGAATCCCCCGTGCAACAATGACCCCTTGTCAGCCGGGGTCGATGTGGGAAACCACGATGAGGACTTGGATCTGGACACCCCGCCTCAGACCGCTGCCCTCCTAAGTCACAAGTTTCCCCACCCCCGCCCCCACCACCCCACGCTACACCACAGCCACCACTTACAGGCGGCCGTGACAGTACACACTGTCGACGCGGAATGCTAACGCTCCCCTCACCGCCTCGGGAGGACGGGATCTGGGAGGGACAGAATGTTCTGGAGGGGGAAAAGAGCCAGCATCAGAGACTCCATCGTAAGAGACCCCCTGTGTGTGTGTGTGTGTGTGTGTGTGTGTGTGTGCGCGCGCACATGTGTGTGTGTGCACACTTCGTCCAGAGTGATTAAACTCCTTTCCTGCCCGTTCACGTGTTTCAAGAGAGACCACAGCAGACTCACACTCATGAAAATGCAAGTCTGGCTCCGAAACGGAGGGGAAGGAAGCCTGATTAATGAGCCTGCCATCGTACTAAGGAAATGGAACAGAAGGCAGACCTCCAAACAGAGACGAAACCCATAAATGAAACATGGGGAACCTTCGTTAAGCTGAGCCAGAGGAATGTTCCAAGGAGCCAGAAACATTCGGCTCTCCTTAACTGGAAGAGAGAAAAGCATGACTGGCCGGCGACTGAGAGCGTGGCATACCCAGGGAGGAGCGTGTGCTTTGAAGATGTCGCTTGGTTTCGCAGCGGTACCTAGTGGTACCGGGATACCACAGTCGCTCTCGGAAACTCCTGGTGAGCTCTAATGATGCATCTCAAAATTTCTAAGTAAAGGATTATTTTTCTACTATTTATTGAACTTTCAAACATTCTCGAACTTCGGCGGAAAGAAAAGGAGACACAGGAGAAATGTTCAGCAGTCATCCCTAGCTGTTTTGTGTGTGATGAAGTGCTTCTTTGCCTAAGGAGTTCTGTTAGGCAACGGATACCATCCCACTGCCCCAGGCCGCGAAATGGGAAAATGAAGAAATCTTTCTCTCCGACCTATTTACGTACATTTTCTTTGGAACGTCGTTTTACGGAAACACATCTTTATTTGCGATACAGTATTCTTTCTCTGTGTTTGACAGAGGTGGAGAGGACAAAGGAATCCAAAATGTCTTTAAAGAAATTCTAATGTTTCTCTTTAACTCCTTTCTGCTCCCCATACAGCGCTTTTCTTAGATTTCTACAAAACCTAATGTTACAACCCCAGCCTTTCAGCTAAGGGAGGGATGGATTTCTTCTCCTTGGGTTAGAGACTATCAATTTTTAAATGTCCCATTTTGATTGTGAGAATAGTGAGTATGTAAGGGAAAATGTTTTTAAGATTCACGATTGGTTCTTAATTAAAGATTTCTTCTGATATCCTTGTTCAAAGCTGCTGCCAGTTATCCAAGAAGTTACCCACCAAACCGCTTTGTCATGTATACAGAGATTCATAAAATCTGGCTAATATGACATGGGGCATTGTAATTTTAAAGTAGTGTTCTAATTACAGTGATGTATTTTAGATTCACATTTTGTGATTCAACTATGTTATAAAGACATTCTTGCACCGTGTGTGTGGTAAATCTCCGTTTATATGTAGTTGGAAAAAAAATTCACTGAATAATGTTTTAATAATAGGGTATTAACGATATAATGTAAAAAAAAATTGGTTCTTCAGCAGTACAGAAAGTAAACTATATGCGTGCTATCAGGAAACCCCTTCATACTGTGTATAAATTTTCAGTCTAGTGAAATAAACTGTATGAATGGACGGTTTTAGTGTTTATAGTGATTTGTTAATGTCCCCCTTCTTGTGCCTCAAGGTAAATTATTTTCACTTTGTAACCTAGCAGATCAGTCACCAAACTGAAAGTGGGCCTCCCTTCGATGCTGCCGTCAACTTCAGGGATTTCTTGACATCTTGAATATGCAAAAAAAAAAAAAATTTTTTTTTTTTTAAATAATGGGATAAAATGAAAAGCAAATGTTAACAATGTATGGAACATAGCGCCCCCTCCCCTTGCTGGACATCTGCATTCATGTCAATAATAAATGGTTGTTCTCAAATTACTGGAGAGAATGGGTGACTTTCCTGTCTTTCCAGAAAAATTAAACCTCTCCGTGGGATACCGGTTTGTTTCCTGAGGTTGAGAACCTTTGTGTGATGACACTAACTTCTTGATGGGGGGAAATTTGGGATTTTCAAGAAAAGAGTCACAAAACGTAGAGCTTAATAAAATACATTAGAGCCTACTCAAATGTAAGAACAGAAATGAGTCTTGTGTCTTCTGTGATAAACATCTCCCCTGTCCCGAACTTCAGGGGAAAGTAATTGAATGCTTCAACTGAAAAGAAAACACAACTGTTGTTTTTCAGCCCCTGGAGAACAGGGCACACAGATTTGCAAGGTTTTATCCTTCAAAGTTCCCTTTTGCCTTCTTCCCTCAAGTGTTGCTTCAACATTTGTTGTTCGTGTTCTTATTTTAAAGGACAATTCCGTTTTTGGAAATATCTATCATGGTGACATATATTGGTGGCTCTTGCCCCTCAGGTAACGTTGCTTGTTAAACACGAGTCATCTCTGGAATCCTGGAGGAAGGTCCTAGCAATGCCTTCTCGTTCACTAAGGCCCTCTTAATGCCTATAACCAACGTTCATATCAACGTTGACAAGTTTCAACAGCTAAGGGTGCTCTGGGTCACTTGATAAGCTAGAAAAGGGAAATTCTTATTTGTGGCCCAAACAAAACAGGGTTCAGACCCATCTAGCTCTCAAGTACGTGTTCATCTGCTTTTCTGACGTTTATTTTACACATTTTGGAAAGTGGTTTTTCTTCCTCTGCCTCTTGATTTCATTTGAATGCTCAGCTAAGCCTTCTTAATACTTTTCATTCGAAAAATGTTGTCAGGGATGCCTGGGTGGCTCAGTCGGTTAAGCGTCTGCCTTCAGCTCAGGTCATGATCCCAGGGTCCTGGGATCAAGTCCCCACATCGGTCTGCCTGCTTCTCCCTCTGCCTGCTGTGCATACTCTCTGCCTCTCTGACAAACAAATAATACCTTTTTTTTTTAAATTTCACATTTACTCAGGTTTATTTTGCATGTCAGAGTGACTGATAGGTGGAAAGAAATCCTGGAAGATGACTTAAGCTCATTTCCCTGTGGTGATGGACTGTTCTAATGATTTCTCTTTCAAGGAAAAAAACCATATCTGGTAGAATAATCTAAATGGATTAGCCCAGCCTTACCTGTGTGTCATCTTTGGTCTATTTCTGACGAGAGGAGTGGCAATTTTCCTGGCTGAAATACAATGCCATATTCAGAATTTTTTCTGATTTTTCAGTAAAAAATATTAAGTTGAAAGATCTATTTGTATGGCTGTGATTACTATAATCTGTTTAGTAGCTAAGGTGTGTATCAATATATATAGATCTATAGACATCTGAAATTGTTTAAGCTGTCCTCCAACCTCTCTCATTCTTCTACATGGCTAATTAGGGCCTCTTCCTTCCCCCCTTATCTTAGTGTTTCCTGACCTTTTTAAAAATTCATTATGGCCCCCCTCCTCAAGAGGAAATTTTGATTTAAATTCACTCTTACAAGAAGTTAAATGCTGGCAGGTAAGATTTTGTTGGATGGGATGGAGTTCAGCGGGCTACAAACCATTGTAATACTCTCTTTTCCTCCCCACCCCCCTGAATTCCATTTCTTCATGTGACCCAGATCTTCGCTCGTGTGTGTGTGTGTGTGTGTGTGTGTGTGTGTGTGTGTGGTTTTATTTTCCTGAGCTTTATTGAGGTTTAATTGACATAAAAAATTGTAAGATACTGGGGCGCCTGGGTGGCTCAGTCGGTTAAATGTCCCAACTGTTGGTTTCTTCTCAGGTCATGATCTCAGTCGGGCTTTGTGCCCAGCACACAGTCTGCTTTCCACCTCCTCCTCCTTCCCCCTGCTCCCACTCTCTCTTTCTCTCTCTCTCTCTCTCTCTCTCTCAAATAAGATCTTTAAAATTGTAAGATATTTAAAATCTACATCATGGCGATTTGATATATGTATTCATTTTGAAAAGATTTCCCCCATTAACACTTTCTTCATTGATTTATTTTTGGTGAGAACATTGAAGTTCTCTTTTCCACTCTTACCAGATTTCAATTACACAATACAGTGTTGTCAACTATAGTCACCATGTTTTACATTAGATCCTCAGACCTTATTCATCTTAGAGTGAAAGTTTGTACCCTTTGACCAACCTCTCCCTATTTCTCCCAGCCCTGTAACCCCAGCAGCCACTTTACTGTTTCTAGGAGTGTGAGCTTTTTAAAAAAAAAGAAATTCCACATGTAAGTGATAACATGCACTGTTTATATTTCTTTGGCTTATTTCACTTAGCCTCATGTCCTTATTACACTTAGCATCATAGTTGTCACAAATGCTAGAATCTCCTCATGGCTGAATGTTCATGTTTTTTGACCTACTTTATGTTCTCTTTTGCTCTTAAATATCTCTTCCTCTCACCTCTGCAGATCTGAATTTACGTACAACTTCTTTTATGACCAGCCAGGTTCCTTAACCCTACTTACACTCCTGTGCCTGATAAAAATTGAACTCTGCCCATTCATACCTTCTAAAGCTCCTCCCCAGCAGTTGTGAGCTTCTGGTTAATCTTGGCTCAGATGTCAGCTGCGTTTTTGTATGAACTTTTTTCAGAGCCTCAATTAGACCCCTGCTTCCTCAGAGCAAGGACTGTTTCTTCTTCTCTGTCATGCTCCTGGCCCCGTGCCCTCTACTTTGCAGGAAGGGCCTTCAGTGTGTGTTGAGAAGATTAAACGTCCGGAGTGCCAACTGCAGCCATACTTACGGGTGACCTTTGAAAATCACAGAGGGGAGGGGCCCTGACTCCCCACACAGTTGTTAGACTCCCCCAAAACTTTTTTTTTAAGATTTTATTTATTAGAGCATGAGTGGAGAGAGAGGGAGAAGCAAACTTGCCACTGAGGAGGGAACCCAACATGGGGCTTGATCCCAGCACCCTGAGACCATGACCTGAGCCGAAGGCAGAGGCTTAACCCACTGAGCCAGCCAGGCGCCCCAGAACTTAACTCTTAATAGCCCGTTGTTGACCAGAAGCCTCAACAGTAAACCGTTGATTAACATGTTGTGTATATGTATCACATACTCTGTTGTTATAATAATGTAAGCT